TCCAGGGCTTGACAACCTTTTTGTTGAAGAAATTTTTCCTAATATCCAACTTAAACCTCCCCTGGCACAACTTGAGGCTGTTTCCTCTTGTCCTGTTTGCTTGTTTCTTGAGAGACTTACCCTGTCCTGCCTCCCCTAGTGTGACATTGCCACTCCACAGTGCCACAGAGCTGTGGGTCAGGTATCTACCTGCACCCAATCCCCAGCACAGGTCCAAGCTCTGCCATTGTGAGGAGCAGAGTTAACAGCACCTGGTGTCCTGCAGGATTCCCCCTCTGGTTGTCTGACTCCAGTGTCTGCCACATATGAGCACCCATCAGACAAAATCAGCACCAAAACTTTCCAAAGTCACCAGAGGAATCCAGAACTAAAATGGCTGGAGTCAGCCCCCTAAAAAGAAAAGAAAAAGTCGAGGAATCTCTTCTCTAGAAGAGAAGACGTTTCACAGGAAGCTTCTCTGGAGCCACAGCACACAGTGGACACCAACACACAGGCCCCAGAGAGATGTCACCTCCTGCCTGGAAGGGTGATGGAGACAGATCCAGCTACTCCTGCCCTGCACACCATAAAGCATCTGTTTGGTGAATACAGGGAGCCTGCAGGACCCCACAATCAGGCTTGGGAAGAGAAGGGATAGATCCAAGCAGCACAGCCGGCTCCACAGTGCTTCCAGGACTCAAGTCTCCCTTTCTCTCTCCATAGCCAGTCACAGCCCATTCGTGGTGGGGATGAGCTGTGTCCATTAGTGGGAAGGAGCCATTTACTCTGGCAATTAAGAGATCCCAAACTTCCCCAAATCCTTCTAGGCCCACAAGGTCAGGCTCTCCTGGGAGTGTTCCTCTGGCTTTACCAGAAATGCCCTTAGGGGAATGATGACTCCTCCAGGTCTGGCCAAAATCAGAAGCTGCAGGAGGGCACAGAAACCTGCCATTTTACAAGAAATAAAGGTTAATTGGACTTTTCCCAGCTTGCTAATGGGTTTGGGCTGTCTGTAAAATTCGCCATCATTCTTGCCTTCTCCAAAGAGGCTCATCAATTCCCAAACCCTGGAGTCAGGGCTGCTGGTGGTGAACCATCCCATTTCCAGGCATGGGGACCCACGGCCAAACCTGTCAGGTGCCCAGCTCAGTTTTGGGACGAGACATGGGGAATTCAGGCAAGGACCAAGGCAGAACAAGCCAACCCAGGAGGCTGCACAAGGCAGGAGCAGAGAAAAGCAGTACAGGATGGTGCAGAGGAAAAGGGAAGACAGGACAGGTGAAGTAATTTGATCAAGGTCACAGAAAAGGGAAAGGAGCAGTCGGGCACTCCTTGGTGCCAGATCAGTCTGCTCTCATGCTTGCAGTGCCTCTGGATCATGGGCAACTCCATGTCCTCTCTGTTGCCACATCTATTCCCTGGTTCTGTGTCAGTGATGGGTGTATGGCAGCACACAAAGGTGCTCATGGCCGTTCCCCATGGCCCAAGACTTCCTGGGGCTGGGAATTAACCTGCTGAGTGCGTGGTGTCACCTTAGAGACCTTCCCTATTGCAACGGGCTTCCCAGTTCACCTTCTCACCTCTTTGCTCTTGAGGAAAACTTTCTAGACCTGCTGACCATGGGATCACCCTCCACACCAGGAGGTTTCAGCCACTGGTCCACTGGTCCATCCAGACACACTGGACCTGGATACAGTCTGGGCAGTACCCAATAAATAAATAAATCCAAATAAGCAACCCAGAGACCAGGAGCTTTGTTTGAAGGTGGCAGCAACATCCTTCAGCAGCCTGAGCCTCCTTGATACCTGCTCTGTGCCTGACCTTGGGCAAACTCCTTCAGCAGCCTGTGCCTCGGTTTCCCCACAGTCACAAGAAAGCAGTGACGCATTTCACCCCAGCAGAGTGTTCTGGTACAAAGACAACAGGGACTCCAAAAGGTCCTTGTTCCCTCACACTTCACAGGGATGCCCCTGACCGGGCCAGGTACACAGGAGCTGACACAAACTTCCCGAGCTGCTGTGTGTGCCATCCCAGCTCTCTGAATTCCGTGTTTTATATTTGGGTGCAGCCGACCTCCTCACAGCATCCTCCAGATCACAGAGAAGTGCAAGACCCCCATAAAGCCTCCCACACTCCCTCCCCCATACCAGACTCCAACCCCTCTGGGTTACAAGCTACAAGCTCCCTTTCTCCGGTGCTGTGACCCTGCACTGCTGCAGCTGGAGACCCCTCACAGGCGACATCCCACTGCCCATCCCAGTGCCCCTGTCCCCATCAGCCTGGGGCTGTGGCCCCCTCTCCCCAAGCCAGCGACCCCATCCTGGGTCTGGGCCTCACCAACCCCACAGAGACACCCTGAACGTGGGGGGGAGCACGCCCTCTGTGCCCCCCTCCCAGCTCCAGAGCAAGAGGTCACTCCGGTCCCCCCAGGGCACTGTCCCCCAAGGGTCTCCCCACAAAAAACACCCCCTTCCAGCAAGCACCGCCCCCCCATGACTCCTCAGGCCCTCAGCCCACCTCAGTCCCCTCAGGCCTCCCCTGTCCCCCGCGTCGCCCTCAGCCCTCTCACAGCCCCTCCATCCCCTTCGCCGCCCCCCCGACCCTTCACCGACCCCCCGGCAGGCCCCGGGCGGCCCCCCTGCTCCCTCCCGCGGCGCACCTCGGCTGGCCCCTCCTCGTCGAGGCCGGCGGAGCTCCAGAGGACGAGCCCCTGGAGCAGGAGGATGGCGAGGGCCGTGGCGGCCGCCAGCCGGTAACGCCGCACCAGCTTCCTCGCCCGCCCGCCGGCCACCATCGCCCCGCCGGCCACCATCGCCCGCCGCGCCGACAGCGCCGCTGCGCGTGCGCGGGCAGGGCCGGGGCGGGGCTTGGGGAGGGGGCGGGGCCAGGGGCGGGGCCGAGGAATGGGGCGGGGCCGGGGTGAGAGAGCGAGAGTTTGTGAATGTGGGTGTGTAAATGTGCGTGACTGTGTAAATGTGCGTGACTGTGTAAATGTGCGTGACTGTGTAAATGTGTGTGTGACTGTGTAAATGTGTGTGTGTGTAAATGTGTGTGTGTGTAAATGTGTGTGTGTGTGTAAATGTGTGTGTGCGTGACTGTGTAAATGTGTGTGTGTGTAAATGTGTGTGTGACTGTGTAAATGTGTGTGTGTGTAAATGTGTGTGTGAGTGTGTAAATGTGTGTGTGTGACAATGTGTGTGTGTGACTGTATAAATGTGTGTGTGTGACTGTGTAAATGTGTGAGCACTGTAAAAATGTGAGCACTGGGATGTGTGTTTGTGTGCAATTGAATGTGTGTGTGTGCAGTGGGATGTGTGTGAGCACTGGGATGTGTGTTTGTGTGCAATTCAATGTGTGTGTGTGCAGTGGGATGTGTGTGAGCACTGGGATGTGTGTTTGTGTGCAATTCAATGTGTGTGTGTGCAGTGGGATGTGTGCGTGCACTGGTATATGTGTGGGATGTGTGTGCACACTGGGGTGCACGTGTGTTTGTGTGTGCTGGGGTGTGTGTGGCCACACGTGCACTGGCAGTGTGTGCCTGTGACCACTGGTGTCAACCTCCCTCTCATGGGCAGGGACACCTTCCACTAGCCCAGGTTGCTCCAAGCCCCATCCAACCTGGCCTTGGACCCTTCCAGGGATGGGGCAGCCACAGCTTCTCTGGGCAACCTGTGCCAGGGCCTCACCACCCTCACAGGTGAATTTATTCCTAATATTTAACCTAACCCTTCCCTCTGTCAGTTTGAAGCCATTCTCCCTTGTCCTGTCACTCCACCCCTTGTCTAAAGTCCCTTTCCAGCTCTCTTGGAGCCCCTTTAGGGGAAGTATTTCAGCAGGGGAAATAGGAAGCAGTGTCTGGATGGCGATAGCAGCTCCGGGGAGTTCCGTGACCCTCTGTGAGCTGCCCAAGCAGATTATGCCAATACAGCAGAGGGAACACTGCAGCCTCAATGGCCCTGAGGGTTTAAGAGGAAGAGGCTCTGATAAGAGGGGCTCCCCGGGCTGCAGAAGGGCTCTGTGCAGCCTGCTAAGCTCTGGGAGGGCTTCCCCTTGTACAGGAGCAATTTGGTCCATGCCCGTAAGAGCTGAGAGCTGCAGGATTGCCTCAACATCTCCACAACTGCCTCAACATCTCCACATCAGCAGGAAAAGTCTCCCCACATAGAATCCTTTAGGTTGGAAAAGTTCTCTAGGATCATCAAGTCCATCCATTAACTCAGCACTGTCAAGGCCACCACTAAACCATGTCCCCGAGAGTTACACCTACACATCTTTTAGGTACCTCCAGGGATGGTGACTCCCTCATTTCCTGGGCAGCCTGTTCCAATGCTTGACAGCCCTTTTGGTAAAAAAATTTTCCCTAATATCCAAGCTAAACCTCCACAGGCACAACTTGAGGCAGTTTCTTCTCCTGTTGCTTGTTACTTGGGAGACCAATCCCTACCTGGCTACAACCTCCTTTCAGGTAGTTGTAGAGGACGAGAAGCTCCTGCCTCACCCTCGTCCTGGTTGCAGTGTAAATCAGCATCCCTGCCCTGAAACCAGCCTAGTTGCACAGAGTTACAGCACCCAAATTCCCATGGCAAGGGAAAAATCATCTCTCCATGCAAAACCACTTGCATGGGACAGTGTGTGTGGAAGAGCTCAGGTATTCTGCTCCCAACCCACCACAAATAGGTGCCCAGATCCATTTTTTGTGGGAGTGGGTTGTCCTGACGGGTGAATTGCCTGGTGCTGAGCAGGAGTTCATGCACTGAGAAGGGCACTGGCATGCAGGGGCAAGACCCTGTGGGATGTCCCAGCAAGGAGCAATGCTGCAGCATGGGTGGGAGCTGCAGGTTTGTACTGGAGCCCCAAGAGTCCTCACCTCAAAGATCTGAGTTCTCACACTGCTGGAGCCCATCTGAACACGAGCTAGGGGCTGGACCTGCTTTCAGGGTGACACTCTGCAATAAACCCTTTAGGAGGTGGAAACCTGCTGTACAAACACAGCCACACACACCATGGTCGATGCCATCAGATTCTCACTTGCTGTCGCTGATAAAGCAGCAACATTTGACACAGAAGAAGGTATTTAGTGGGTGCCAGAAAAAAAAAGCTATCAGCAAAGCAGAGATGAGCAGGGTGATATTTACAGCCCCTGTGTGTGCTCCCAGGTCAGAGGTGGTGGGAGAGAGCAGGAGGAAACCTCCCTGGGGGCTGTGCAAGTGTGGTGTTTGGGGAGAGGCCATTTCTTCACCAAGACCTTAATACCCCACATCCTCCACCCAAGCACCCTGTGCAAATGCACTTGGATATAACATTTCCCACTGTCCTGCTTCCCAGGAGCTGCCAGCTGCCATCAGCATGAAAAAAGTCACTCTGAGGAGATCCGTGGGTTTGGAAGCTTCACCCCCCAAGAACAATGCAGAAGGGCAAGTGGGACAGGTGGTGGGTTCAGGGAGCCAGCCCACCCGCAACCCTCAGCCTTGCCTCCCCCTCCCAGCTCCCCGACACCCTGCCTGGCAGGTCACTGGCCTGGACTGCCTCACTTCAGGGGGAAAATTTTCATTCCCAGCACCACTAATGTATGGATGAGGACTCCAAATGCAAAGGGATGATTTTATCCTCATCCCGCTCCATGTCTCCTCTCAGTGTTGCTCCAAGGAAACATCCGAGCCTTGAAGAGCAGCAGCTCCACTGTCCAGCCAGCTCCTGCCTGAGTGCAATGCCAATGCAATCCCCTCCATGCAGGTCCCAGTGGCACTCCTGGCAGCAGAAGCAGCCCATGGGGCTGGGTGCTGGCTCACACTCCCCCAGCTCTGCTCTCAGGCTCCTCACTGGGCCGTGGAGCTGGTGGCATGTTGCTGTAGATCTGCTCCTGCTGCGGCACACGCTTCTGCACTCTGGCATATATTGCCTCTGATTCCTCTTCCACAGGCTGGGAAAGGAGGGGGATAAACAAAAAACATCCTTTGTGGGGCTGCTCCAGGGAAACACTGTCTGCTGGAACCTCTCTCGGCTGCTTTAAGCACCCAGGAGCAGCCATGGGGACTGGAGAGGGAACCCACATTATCCAGGGTCACTTGCTCTCCAGTTTGGTGAGCCCCTTTGCAGCCCCCTCCCTCCCCACCCAGCCTATCCCACTGCCCACGCCATCACCCACCCGCCCCAGCTTTCCCCCCACCACCTCCAGCCCGGCACTGCTCTGCATTCTCCTACCTTAGCACTGTGCCTGACTTCCATGTACTCGATTGTGGAGTTTTGCAGGCTCCGGAAAGCCTTGGCGTTGCTGTACAGCTGGCTCTCGGCTGTGCCCATGTGGTGGTTAATGTCTGCATAATTCAAGGCATCTGCTCCCTGATGGAGAGGGATGAGCTCTTAACCTGCTGCCGCCTGCATCCACAGGGGTGGGAGCACCTCCTGCCCTGCTGCCTGTCCTGATGGGTGCTGAGACTGATGGCTGCAGGAGCACTGGGTGGAAATAAAACCTGAAGCAAGGGCTGGTTCAACATTCCCCAGGGGAATTCTAGTTAGTGACACCAGCCTCTCCTCAAAATCTGGCAGATAAAATCAGAAAACGCTCTCCAAGCAGTGAGCAAAGAGCAGCTGCTCCACTGCTGCCTCAGGTGTGCTTTGCCTGTTTCCCAAGCCTGTTTTACTCAGAGGAGCAGCTCCCATGCTTGGAGGGGCCTGGGGGCAAACCTTTTATCCCAATCCTAAATTCTCTTCCCGGGAATACTCTGTGATAGTCACATAAAAGCCCTGTTTGTGTCTTTCTGTTGGCGAGCAGTGCCCAAAGGATCCCTCCCAGCCTAAAGCACCATGAGCCAGGCTGACAGTAGAGGCTCTGGCAGCTCAGGGTGTAACGCTTCCCCTCTCCATGAGAACTTGGGACATGGCATCCCAAGACCTCATGAGGTTTTCCTTACTGTATGAGAAACACTGCGAGTCCTGTCCATCTCTATGGCTGCTCTGGAGAGGGCTGGATGGAGCACGGATGTGGTTAGACATGAGTGAAAACAGAGGAAAAGAAATTAATTAAGAAACTGCACTGCCACTGCGAATCTCACCGTAAAGCAGGAAAGGAACCTGTTATCCTGTGAGCCATCCAAACTGGAGCAGTTCTTCAAATAAAACCAGACCCCACCTGCCAGCTGGCAACGTCCTCTCCTGTCCCCCCCACATCCTTCACTCTGGCCTTAAACTGTGTCAAGCTTAGTGCAAGCCTGGCCCAAACAAGTGAGCCCATCTGGGGAAGCTGATGGTGCCCAGACAAACACAAGTAGGTGCTGTGCCAAGCAGCACCCACCCCAAGGGCTGCCATTCCCTGCTCCCATGGGGATGAGACCTGTGGGATGGTCCCACCGTTCCCTCAGGGCAAGGAGTCCTCCTTGGTGGAGGTCTCAGTGAGGGATCAAGGAATTGGATGGATCAGGGAGGGAATGGGGGAGAAAAAAAATATAGAGGAAAAAATAAATAAAGCAAAGGCAGGTTCTGGAGCAGAAATAGGGTGTGTGTGGCAGTGGCAGCTTCTCTCACCCTTTTTCCTCTTCCTGGACAGTATTACCAGAACAGCAGCAGCCACAGCAAGCAAAAGAAGAACTACTACGATGCCCGGAGTGAGGATGTGCTCAACCACGTTCAATCTGCAAGAAAACAGGAGTTTCTGTTCCCACACTTCTCAAGAGGAACCAGCATAGAGCAGGGTTGCGGGAAGTGGCTGTGGGTGACGGGGCTTTCCCTGGGAGGAAGGACAGCAGGTGTGGGGCAGTCAGGCTGCCAGCTGAGCACGGAGCAAAGCAAACCAAAAACTGCAGAAGCAAACTGACACTGAGGTCTGAGAGCTGCTGAGTCTTCACTGGTTTAAGGATGGGTTCCTGGACCTAGTGTTGCTCTGGTTTAGCTCCACTATTTGTTGACCTTGTTTTTAATGGGTAAGCAGGCAAAGTTGGTGTGCCAGCTATCCCTGGAGCATGCTAATGGGGAGCCTCAGCTTTGCCTGCTGAGGCATCACCTCCCAGAGGCAGGAGAGAATGAGGGAAGCTCTACAACTCCTGTTTAATGCTTTGTCCACTATCTCTGCTGGGCTGTGTGTGACTACAAAGCAGAACAGGACACTGGCCTGCATTTGGTTTCCCAATAGCAAACACTGCCTCTGAGTTTTGGGGAAGGAAGTGGGGTCAGGCAGAAACCACTTCTCCTGTGGCAACAGCTCATGGCTTGCTTAAGCTGCAAGATGGACGGGAGAGAAGCAGGGCTTTTCTGGGGCCATGTGACCAGAGACACTGGAATTATTGTCATAGAATCATAGAATTCTTTTAAGATTACCTAGTTCTAATCTCCTGCCATGGGCAGGGACACCTTCCACCAGACCAGGTTGTTCTGAGCCCCATCCAGCCTGGCCTGGAACACTTCCAGGGGTGGAGCACCCACAACTTCTCTGGGCAATCTGTGCAAGTGTCTCACTACCCTCTTAGGGAAGAATTTTTCCAGGTGGAGTGGTCTCTAAAGGTACAAGCAGGATGCCTGGATCCTTAAGGGAGCTGTGAAGAGTCTGAGGGTTGCAGGGCTCCAGCTGCACCAAACAAATCTTGTTGAGGGAAGTGGCTGCTGTAGGCAGGAGCTGCTACTCACCTTTGGTTGCTGGACGGATTTGACGTCATGTGCACAGTTCCCCCTTGGGAAGTTGTCTGTGTGGGGCCTGTTACAGAGCTAGTGAGATCGGTGTGCTTGTTTGTGGTGGAGGTTGATGGTGGGGTGGCTGTAATGAAAAGAGGAGAGGCTTGTTTGATCTGTCTCTGGGGGGGAAAAATGCTGTGGGTCTTTCAGCGAGTCAGAAGTGACCCACTTACTGTCACCCAAGGAGTAGCTGAAGGACACCCCTTGAGGTGGGAAGGCTGTAAGATCCTACCACTGCCCAGGAGGCTTTTCACAGTCCTGGTCCCCCTCAAAACATGCACAAAACAGAGTTCATCCTGCAGGAAGGGGGTCTGGGTACCCCATGACTCGTTCAGTACTAACACAACAAACCCATATATGTGTCCTGCCATGGGGGCTGATCCCTAGCAAGGCAATGGAGAGGGATGTTCCCAAAGCCCAGGGCCTGGTGCCCAGAGGCTCTGCTTGTCCCAAGTGGGAAACAAGGCAGCACAGGGGGGTGAGGAATTCCCCAGTGTGATGCAATAAGGCAAGGACAGCACAGACAAGGACAGCAAGATCTGATGAGAGGGAAAATGAGACACAGAGAGCAGGTAGGTGCATCCCACCAATGGCTGATCCTGGAGCACTGAGAAGGAGCTGTGGGGAGATCTGGGCACAGGGAGTGGGTGATGGTGGCACCTGCTGCACTGTGGTGACATTGGGCACCTACCACCTGCAGGCTGCCCCTACTGCAACCCTTGCTCCCAGTACTTGGAGGGGGACACATCAGGGCTGGACCTGGGGGACCAACAAGTACTGACCTGGCAACACAATCACCTCCACTTCATCACCCCGATCAAATTGGAGCCTTCCCGTTCGCACCCCACAGAAGTAGATTCCCGCATCCTCCTCTGTCAGATCCTCCACAGTCACTGTGAACACCAGGTGTGTGCGGTTATCCCGGATGGAGAATCGGCCCTTCCGCACCACGGGCTGTGACTCCGAAGTGATGATGATGTCCTTAGCACAGGTATAAAATGTTCCCGGGTTGCACCAGAACTTCGGGTTCATCTCCTGGCCGGGCCGGTACTTGTAGGTAACTGAGAGGGACTCCCCCACGAATCCCTGCACAGTTCTGCGCCAGCCCATCGCCCCATAGCCTGAGGAGACAAACGGAGCCGCGGAAGTGCTGCCACCGCACCGACACCTCCCGCCCGTCGCGGCCGCCCCCACGGGCCACTCCGGGAGTGGGGGCCTCCGGCGAGACCTTACCTGGCAGCAGAGCCCAGGCGAGCAGAGGCAGGAGCTGCATGGCTGCTACGGGACGGCGGAGCTTGGCACCCTGGTTCCTCGGCAGGGAGCCCCGCCCGCCCCCGGGGCCGCCCTGTCGGGGCGGAGCGCGGGGACCCTCGGGGCTGCCTGACCGTCGGGGCTGCCGGAGAGACAAGTCGGGAGCGCAGGGCGGTGGCGGGGAAGCTTTATTGGAGTTGGCGGCAGCAGGAAGGGCGCGGCGGGGCCCCGGTGCTGCCCTCCCTGCCCACGCCGTCGGGGCCGGGGCGGCCCGGGGCCGGGAGGCATCGGCCGCGGCCGAGGGGTCCCGGCGGGGGCTCAGCCCCGCAGGCTGACCCAGAGCACGGCCGCGCTCATGGCCAGCAGCGCCAGCAGCTGCAGCCCGGCCAGCACCGGGAAGTAGCGGAAGGAGCCACGGGTTCCCTGCGGAGCGTCCGGCTGGAGCGTCGGAGTTGCAGGTGTGAAGGAGCGACGGATGCAGCGGGTGCCAGGAGGGCACTTTGTCCCTCTCCATCTCCCCTCGCTCAGGGTGACACCTCCTCCCGTAGTCTGTCCCCGGCCCCCCAGCGCTGTGGTCACTGTTGCTGGGGTGGAATTGTGCAGGGACTGACCTGGCAACACGATCACCTCCACTTCATCACCCCGATCAAACTGGAGCCTTCCCGTTCGCACCCCACAGAGGTAGATTCCCGCATCCTCCTCTGTCAGATCCTCCACAGTCACTGTGAACACCAGGTGTGTGCGGTTATCCCGGATGGAGAATCGGCCCTTCCGCACCACGGGCTGTGACTCCGAAGTGATGATGATGTCCTTAGCACAGGTATAAAATGTTCCCGGGTTGCACCAGAACTTCGGGTTCATCTCCTGGCCGGGCCGGTACTTGTAGGTAACTGAGAGGGACTCCCCCACGAATCCCTGCACAGTTCTGTGCCAGCCCACCACCCCACAGCCTGTGGAGACAAACGGAGCCGTGGCAGTGCTGCCACCGCACTGACACCTCCCGCCCCATCCCCATCGGATGATCCAGTGTGAGTCTCTGGCCCCAGGGATCCCCTCAGCCCTACCTGGCAGCAGCAGCCAGACAAGCAACAGCAGGAGCCACATGGACAGGGTAGCCTGGGCCACAGCTGGGGCAGCCCTACTGCTCCTTCTATGTTGCGTCTCTAGGGCTTCGCTTCCTCTTCTGCCTGGGATACCAACTCAGTTACTGCTGGGCGTTCAGCAAAAGTGTGGGGTTTCCTGTCAGCTGCCTTCCTGCCTTGCCTGGTCACTGAGATCACTTGTTGTGCCCCCATGGCAGGACACAGTTCTGCCTCTTACCGCCACACTGCCCAGCCTCTCTCACCAGGCACAGCACCTGGTGGGGGACCTGCCTCTCAAGGGATGGCTCAGCACTGCACAGGGACCCCCTGAGCCCCATATAAGTCTCCAGGCTGGGGCAGTGCTCCTGCATGGCCACCCTGTCCTTCCCGTGGGAATGCATACGAGGAGTCCCCGCCTCCTGCCCCAGTACAGCTGGAGATGGGCGCTTGTCCCCACTGCCCTTGCCAGCACGTCCCCCCAGACAGTTCATGTCCCCCCAGCACAGTCCCTCTGTGGCTTAGGATCCTATGCCCTGATTAGGTCCTCTCAGGCTTCCCCCTGTGTCCCATCCCCTGCAGGTGCTGTAGTGGTGGGGACAGTTGTGGAAGGACACTCGTTCCCAGCTCTTGCTCAGCTGGAGATGGGCATTTGGTGGCATCAGACAGAGTTGGCAAGGCTGAGGCTCTGGGGGCTGAGGGCTCCTCTCCTTGTGCCAGGGCTTAGCTGGGTGATGGTGGATCAGGTGCCAGCATTGCCCCTGTGATCCCGTATCTCCCCCAACCACAATGCAGTGTGTCCCCACACAGTGTGTGCATCAGCACTGACAGCCACGGGCACCCCGGGCCGCACTGGCAGCTGAAGGAGGGAGCATGTGGACAGACAGACAGGCAGACAGGCACCTGCAGGATACCAAGGCTTTATTGCAAAATTGTCTTTGTTTGGCAGCTGCAGCCCAGCAGACACAGGCTCCCTGCACTCCAAACTCCCCTCTCTCTGGTGCTGGGGCTGCCAGGAGGGGCCAGGGCTTCACAGGAGGGAAGAATCACCGGGAGCCAAGCACCTCCTGGCACAGGGCAGCCGTGATGGGTGGCACGGCCCCAGCAGGGTGGGAGGAGAGGGGACAGGAGGGCATCCCTGTGGCTCCAAGGTGGCTGGGAGAGGAGGTGGGCAGCCTGGTGTCCTGGTGCTGCTGGAGGCCTCAAAGAGCTGTTGGTTTTCCTGGTTGTGGCTCCTACGCCGGCTCCTCATCCAGGCTGCCCCACACACCAGGGCCAAGGCTATGAGAAATTTCAAGCTGAGGAGGAGCAGCAGGTGGGTGACACTGAGCTGGTACCTGTATGGAGAAAGGAGATTATGCTAGAGCCTGTGTAGGGTCTGTGCAATGAGGATGAGGACTGGGACACTGGCATGTCTGCCAGCTGCCCTGCTTGCCCCTGGGATGCTCCTTGGAGCTGCTGCAATGGAGGGACACACAGCTGGGAGATGCATGCAGGGAAAAATATGGTTTTGGCCAGGGGATGCTGCTGGGGGCTTGCCCAGATCCCAAGCTCTTACTCACAGCACTGGAGGCTCCCCACGGCCACTGGAGCCCACATCGCTGCCTTCAGTTGTGGTTGAAGCAGCTGCGAAGGAAACAGAGTCAGAGCAAAGTGGAGACCCACCCCACACATCCCCTGTCCTGCTCCCTGCACAGGGGTCTCTGCCCTGACACTGCGGCCACGGAGGTGCAGCAGGTGGAGATGGGGGTATCCAGCAATGCCATGGGCACTGTGGGGGAGGAAGAAGAGGGAGGTTACTGCCAGCTTTGCTTCCAGCCCAGTTTTACCTGCAGAGACCATCACCCTGGTGGTGTGGGATGTGCTGAACCACAGTTTCCTCTTCACACCGCAGGAGTACCGGCCTGCGTCCCCCAGCGTGACTCCACTCTGTGTCACCGTGAACGAGTGTGCTGTGTGGTTGTCCCTGATGGACACCCTGCCCTGTGTCACCATCACCTCTGAGCCACTGGTTTGGATGATGTCGGTGCAGCAAAACCAGAGGAAGCTCTGGCGGCACCAGTACTTGGAATTGAGCTCATAGCCTGGCTCATAGCTGCAGGACACTGCCAGCAAGCTGCCTTGGTCAGCTGTCACCTGCTTGGGGCCTTTCACTGCCCAGACACCTGTGGGGGACACAAAGAGGTGCTGCAAACACGTCCTGGCATTGCCTTGGGGAACCAAGAAGGATCTGAGCCCAGGATTCTTGGGGGCACCCAGCCCCGAGGGAGGCTGTGTCTGTGCACCCGCTGTGCCAGGGAGCAGCGCTGAGAGGAGATGTCCCCAGTCAGGAAAAAAAGAGCCCCCATCTGTGTGTTATTAAAAGAGCAAAAAGCCTTATTCCCAGGGTTCACATGACAGCAGTAGAAGCACATCTCAGAGATCACCCCCCGTAACTGCCAGAAGAAAAGGTCGGGATCAGCTGGGCTCTTGCCATGACCATGGTGAGTTTCCTGGTCTGGCTTGGCCCCAACCTCTCCACAGCTCTGCCAGAACCCCTGAGATGGAATTGCCTGACCTGTGTTCTGGGCTCTCACCTGGGAAAAGGATCCAAACCAAGAAAATTCTCATTTTCCAGCTTCTTGTTCCCAGAGTGGATTTTTCCCCGTGGTTAGTCATGAAGAACCTTGCAGGATGGAGCCAGGTCCACATTCACTTGGGTGTCCCGGGAGTTTTCCAAGCCTTATTCTCCTGTCCCTTCTTTGGGCAGTGCTTACCCACAGATGACCCTGGATGTCTTTTTTTAAGTTACTTGTTTCCTCCCCTTCACCCGGGCCCATGACTCACCCTGGGGTGTTTCGTGAGAGAGACTCTGCTTTTCCTCTGAAATAGTCACTGGGTTCCCAGTAAAATGTGAAAATGCAGCAGCTTCCTCTGCTGCAATGCCCATCCCAGTGGGGAGCACAGCCTCTTCCCCTACGCAGAGCCCAAAGGACTTTGGGGAGCTTTGCGGGGGGGCCAGGCCAGAACAGGGGTGCAGGGACTGGGGTAGAGTGAAGGCAGGTCTGCCCCTGTGGATGGGACTGACAGAATGCTCTCCCAGTTGTGATGGACTGGGATAACAGACCGAGATGATGGACAACCATCCCCCTGCACTGCTATTCCCCGGCTCCCAAGCAGTGTGAGCTGGGCTGCTTTTGTTTGTTTTCTCAAGCAGAAATGTCTCATTTCCTCCCTAAACCACCTTCTTCGGCACAGCCTGGGGGTTTTGAGTGACAACAGTGTTTTAAATGCTTCCACTAAAAGTTTCAGAAACCCAAACACAAAAAGCAAGGCCTCTTCCCTGGCAGCTGCCTTGCTGATGGCTTTCTTCCGATATGCCCCTTGGAAAGAGCAGAAAGCACAAACCTCTGGCATCCCCTTCCCTCTCTGTCCCTCATCATGGCAAGAGCAAGCTCTGAGTTTTCCTTTTGATCATGAAATAACCCCTTCATTTCCATCTTTCTGGCTGTGAGCCAAGACTCTGCAAGTAACAGCAAGAACCAAATTCAAAAAAGTAGCTGGAGGTGGCAAACCAGCTTTCTGCTGAGAAACTTCCCACAAAGACTGTGCAGCTGGGGCTCCAGCCACTTTGTCTTCCTTGGGCATGCATCTCTGCCACTGCTTGGCAAAGCACGGTGAGTCCTTCCCACCCTTCCCTCAGAGCAGGAGGATTGGGAGAAGCGGCTCAGAGGTAGAGGCTCCAGATGGAATGTGCACAGAAAAGGTGCCTACATTCTTTACTGCATGAGGATTTCGAGGACAGCTCAGTTACCCGAAAGCAGCCAGAAGCACTTTTTCAAAGAACCACTTTGGTAGAGTTCCTGGGAAACTTTTCAAGTCACATCCATGCTGCATCATCTCCATCACATCACTGTCACTTCACCATCAGATGTGAGGTGTCATTTCCCCTTCCCGTTCTCTGTTCCATGTTTGGTTCTGGGCAGGATGAGCAGCTGCCCAGCCCAGTGCAGGGGCTGGACCCTCAGCACAGACCAGGGCCACTTCCTCCCCATCACAGCAGTTCCCAGGACTGTGTTACCCCACTGACTCCATTTCAGTGACTGAAGGCAGGTCTCCTTCTTGCCTCTGAGGATACTGCAGTGATTACAGCCCCCCAGTGTCAACACTGCAACTCCCATGTGGAGTTTTACTCTGATATTTCTCCTCTCAGCTGCTGGATGAAGGGGCCCTGGCTGAGCAGGACATTGGCCGGGGGCTGTTGGTGGGGGTTTGCAAAGGAGATGGCTCCAGCTCTGCACCTCAGCCCCAACCAACTCAGCAGCGTGGGAACATGCTCGTGGAGGGGAAGAGCAAGATGGGAGTAGGCAGGAGTGAGAAACCCCAGAGTGCTGACACAGGAGTGTCTGTCACATGAAGGGCTGTGATATTTATTCCAATTAAAATGAAACCAGAGAGGGAGTAGAGCAATCCAGGAAGAAAACAGTGCAGCAGAGCATGATGAGGAGTCATGTTGCCTAAAATGGGGAGAGCCCTGCAGAGAGCCCTCCCAACACCCTCCAGCGAGTGCATGGGTGCTGGGGTGCTCCACATAGCCCGGGGGGAATGAATTAACACAACCACCTGCAGAGGACAGGGAAAGGCACCCTACTCTGCACCAGCACCTCTGGGGGGCTGTGTCAGGGTCCTGCGAGCCAAGACCTCTCCCTTTTGGCAGCAAGTGGCCCGGGAAGCACAAGGCGAGGCTATTCTGTGGGAGAGGAAGCATTGCTGAAGCACTTCTCAGGAATCCCACTGATGCATCCTGACAGGAGCACATCAGTTTGTCTTTTCGTCTCGGCCACATGCGGGGCGGGATTGAGCACTCGGGCGCGGCTCAGTGGCCGTGCCAGCGAGCAAAGCGTGTCACTCAAAGAGCTCCTGGGACAGGCAGTAATCGAGTCAATCAGTGAGGGCCCAGTACCAACTTGTGGGTCCCTTCCAACCCAGAATATTCTGTGATTCTGTAAGGTCTTCCTCAGCTCCCATCCCACCGTATTACCCACCACCACGACTGAGCCTTTCCAGAGTCCTCTCTGCTCTGTTCTTCAATGACATTTCCAAATCCTGATTCTGTTATTTAATCCAGGGCCCTTGAAAAATAATCAGGTAGTGTCAGTCTGTTCTTTCGTGGGCAGATTCAGCAAGTTTGGTGAAATTGTCCTTAGGAGATAAGGCTGAGGATGATAATTGCTAATGTAGCTCCTTTAGTGCTGGCTGATCGAGCAGGCACTGTCTGATCTCTCCCTTCCGATGCCATCTCAGATAACCAAGATAAGTTCAGATCATTCCCAGATCTCTTGATTTAGCAAAGCCAGTAAAAGTGGCAAAAAATACTTACAGACTTTGTGGTCGTGGAGGATTTACTCTGGACTGTGTCTGAGGCTGGACTCAGCCAGAAACGGCTAAAGCAGAGGTTACTTATTGCAAGGAAATTAAGAATTCATACTGTATGGATTCAGAGGGTGAAATTCTGATTTTTCCTTAGCTCATGGGGAAGGAATGACTTCAGCAGGGCTGATCCTCCTCAAAAAGTGTTGTACAGGGAGTCCAGGGAGATACTACAGCAGGTTAATGGGATTGGGCAGCAGAGAACAGCAGGAGCAAGCAAGTACAGTGAAGCAGAAACTCCTGAGCTGGATTTAAATCTTCCTCTGTTAGACCTGTATTTCTCAAAGCAAATACACAAGTAATTAAGCTATCAGAGATACAGTCTACCAGCAAACAGAACAAACAATGGAGCTAAATTGCAGGTTCATTTGGAATCACTCCTGCCGTTTGCAGGTCATTTCCTCTCATTTCGTTGCTCTGCATTGATTTCAGCTAGTCAGAGCTTGCTCAGGGCTGCAAACTGCTCACTGGCTCCCAGGGTCTGGGATAAGCTGGGAGAGTAAATGGTTTGCTCTGCACGGTGGGGGAAATGCATTCTTCGGTGTGTGAGGGGAGGCGGTGATGCAGGTGTCGGGCTGCTGGGCTCTGATAAAGCTGCTGATAGCACTTATCTGCCATGGGTCAGGTCCTCCAGCGCCATAAAGTGGGATAAAGCCCTTGGAGCAGCGCCAGGCTGTGCTGCTGCCTGTCTTTGCCAGCAATCTATGTCGTCTCATTAGGCTGTATTACACTTGATGATATCATGATAGATAGGAGAACTGTCTTCCTCCTGAGTTCGATTAAACCTGCAGGGCCAAGTGTGTCTCTGGTGCAATGCCAGTGCCTGCAGAGGGACTGGACAGCTTGGCTCTGTGAGGCGCTTCTCGCCCGGCAGCAGCTCCTCCCCGCTCTCCTTTGTGACTCAGAAAAGGAAACAAATGTTACTGGAGCTAAGAAGGGTCAGAGGATGCTCTCTGAGCCCCAGAACCTCTCCTGCAGCAGGGACCTGCCAGAAATTTCCATCCAGGGATAAGCAGGTCTGGAGCCTCAGACCTGATGGGCCTTTCGGGGGGTTACTCTCTTCTTCCCTGGGGGTTAAGTTCATCCCATCTTATGGGAGAGATTTTTCTGAGTACCAGCACAGCCTGGGTGCCCTGGTCAGAGCTGCACAGTACATGCAGCAGACCTGGGTCTCTGGGGTCTGTGTGACCCATAGAAAGGATTGTGCTGACATCCATGAGAGTTTTAACACGGTCTTGATGTGTTTAAGAGAACAGAGTTGCCCTGGCTTTGTTGAAGCCACCCTGAGGTTTGCTGCTCTCATCTTCCTGGCCCTACTTGTTGTGGACTGTGTGCATTATGTTGAACTACAATGTTGGCTGCACCACTTGTCAATTATCCGATCCAGACACCAGGGCTCATGATATCATTTATTTTTGTGCTATTGATTGTCTTCCAGTGCATGAGGCCAATGAGTGGTCTGGTTACACAATGGTCTGTGTCAGGTTGGGTTGGTTATCTCAGCTTCAGGTGAGTCTAAAACACCCCATCCCTCTGGGTTGTTTTTCACTTTTTCTGGCTGTTGTTTGCCAAGTCTGATCATCTGACCCAGCAGAACCGTCTCTGCAGTCAGAGGAAATAATGGGCAGATATAATCAGCAATGTCAGGCCCAGGCAGTCAAACAGCAATCGGACAGGTGCAGATGGCTCTTGGAAGCATGGTCTGTTCCTCTGGCTTAGGGCCATCTGCTGATCTGGAAGGAGGGAACAGGAGACTGAATTTCTCTTAATAAACTTCTCAGTAAAGATTAGTTTATTTCCAGTGCAATCAACAACATCAGATTGCTCTAAAGGGAGTTGTAAAGAAGAGATCTCAATGAGATATCAGCTGTCACCTGCAGGTTTAGGCACAGATTCTTCCTGTTTCTAAATACTATCTGTTTTTCACTCCAAGCAGGGTCCTAACCAGGCTCTGTAAATGCAATGGGATTCCAAAGGGGACCTGCTGGGGTAATCAGGCTCAACACCAGTTTGGCAAAGAAGCTGCAATCACCTGGCTAGCACGATCTGCTGCCCCTCCTTGGGGTGACACCCCAGTGACCAGGCAGCTCTGTGCTTCACCCCTGCCCACGGACACCCAACATCTGTGTGGGCTGGCAGCTGGAGGGGTGTCAGCCGGCACAGCCCCGGTGCGGGCATAGGGCTCCCTAACGTGAGTGCCAACGAGCCGGGGCTGGAGCAGTGCAGAGGACTTGGCCCCGCTCTCTCAGCTCGGCGGCTGACCGGAGCCGGTGCAGGGCTGACCGTGCCCCGTGGGCGCCTCCTGCAGCGGAGGGAGGGAAGGCAGCGATTCCCGGTGGCGAGGACGGAGCCCCGGGCTCTGCAGAGCCGGGAGGTCTCCATCACGGCTGTCGGAGATGGGGAGGGGGAGAGGGACCGGCGGGCTCTGCCGGAGTGGGGGGAGCTCCCTCCGCCTCCCCGCCCCCGGGCGGGACCGGCCTCCCCCCGCACCCCCCCGCCGCCTCCTCCGGGCGGGGGAGCCCTGCGAGCGGCGGCGAGGAGCACCGGGCACCGCTGCGCTGTCCTGCGGGGACCGAGCGGGGCCGGGCTGTGCCGAACCGGGCCGGGACTGCGGGGCCGAGCCGGGCCGGTCGGTCCCGAGCGGGGCGGGCACTGCCCGCGGTGCTGAGCGGGGCCGGGCGCTGTCCGCGGTGCTGCAGGGGCGGCCCTGCCCGGTGCCCCCCGATCCCCCCCGGCCATGGGGTCCTACACCGCCGGCCCGGGGGGGGACGGATACAACGAGGCGCTGCTGCACAAGGTACGGCTGGGGATGGGGATGGGGGGGACCGGGGATGGGGTTGCAGAGCGCACGGGATTGGGGGCATACAGGGCAGGGAGACTAATTGCACTTGCGGACAAATTGCATCTCTCTCCCCTTCTCGCTCCTCGTCCCCCGATGAGGTCCGTCCGACACTCCCCATCCCGGCGCGGCCGTGGGGGGATGCGGCTGCAGCTCTCTCCCCTTCCCGGGGCTGGACAGCCTGCAGGGGTTGGCCCCGGTCCCAGCCACCTCCCGGGTGACGGTGGTAAGGGGGGTGGCAGGATTCGGAGTGTTGGGGAAGCCAGGAGCGCTGGAATGGGGCCAGCCCCGCGGCACAGCCCGCAGCCGCCCTTCAGCCGCTCCCGCTGTCCTGTGCGCGCTCAGGGCGGGTCGGGGGGAGCGGAACCCCGGGGCTCTGTTTGCCAGAGGCAGCCTAGGGAGTCGAGACTTCCCTGCTGTGAAATAGCTGTGTTGCAAAAGACGTCCATTCCTGCCCTCCTTCCTTTGAAATCCTCTTCTGCGGGGTTCCTGGGACTGTGTTTTGTAACTCCACTTTCACGGAGGGTGGTCAGGGCTGCTGCTGTCCCTGCAAGACCTGGGGAGCTCAGGCTCTGCTGCGGGGACAGCAGGCTTTTGCTCCCTGCAGTCAGATGCTGCCCTGCAACTCCTGGAGTCATGGAAGAGACACTGATCTCTGTCAGATCCACCTATCCGTTCTGCTTGCTGTCCTCGGTGCTTTGCTGCAGTCCCCAGTGACTGTGCAGGGACAGGCACCCCCCCGAGAGCAGGGGAAAAACAGGGATGGGGCAAGGCAGGGGAAAGGGCTGGGGCTGTGTGGATCACTCTTTACAAACACCAGTCTGTTCTGTATCCTGCTGGACTCAGGGCAATGTGCCCAACCCTTGATTAGCAGAAAAATATCAATTACTATCAGCTCTCATTTCTGTTGTACATGGAGTACGTAGGACATGCCTCCAGGGATGACTGGAGAAACTTGGATTCTTTGCAGAGCCTTAACTCTCTCTTCTCCAGCAACGAGCTGCTGTTAAGGAATGACATTGGTGGAAACGAGTCTCTGGGCAGAAGAGCTGCCCAGGCAAATAACCATCCCAGTCCCTTGTTCCCTGCTGTTTCCCTTGATATTTTTCCTGGCTGGGTTGCTAATCTTGCAAAATCAAGCCTGCTCTCACTCCAGGGGTGTGAGGCAGCAAATACCTCACTAGATCTTGTGTCTGCACAAGGAATCACATTTCAGATGTGCTGAGAAACCCCAGAGAGCTTTGCAGTCTGGACACAAAGGTTAAGTGGTTTCTGGTTGGTGGCTAGACCCAGGCCTGGGGAGGAAACGGGCCAGGGGCAAACCAAAGCAGGAACAGGAGAGGTTTGTTCTGGGCTGTTCCAGAAGAGTTTCACCTGACACAAAATGCTGAGTTCTGCTTGCAGGTGGTTTGACCCATTGCCAAATCATTCTTCCTTTTGTGGAATTCCTGGACCTATTTACCTGGAACAAGCCTCAGTGGCAGAGGATGTGTTCCTTGGCTGTTGTTGATCCAAGGTGTTAGCAGGGGGTTTGCAAACAGGGATCTCCTGTGTGATCTGAGCCAGCTTTTGTTTGATACACAGCTCTAGAGCTCATGTCTGCAGGGCTGAAATACAGCCTCTGCCAGGGCAAGGGCTCAGCTGAGCTGGGCAGAGAGCCCTGGGCTCTGTCTCAAGTCAGTGTAAGGGTCTTGGCCATGGTGAAATAGTGCCTGGGCAGGTGGGGACAGCCCTGGAGTATTCCTGTGGCACAGAACAGCTTCAAGCAGCACCCAGCAGCATCCAAGTTACCCTGGAGCATTGCTTGGAGAAGGGAAGAGACAGCACAATTTTGTTATATAGAGGAGGTAAAAATAAGTCACAGAAATGCACCTCTGAGAGTCCCTGAGAGTGAGGGGCTGAAAGCAGCCACAGATTTGCTGTCAGACCTCTCCCAGGGCCATGTCCCAGCTGAGCTCTGCAGGCAGCTGTGCTGGGGTGCACGTACACCTTTGCCACAATTCATTGTGATAAATCGTGCTCACCTGAGCACAAACCTTTGTGTTTGGGTCTTCAGCTGCTCTCTGAGAGCAACAGCAGAGCTTGTGGAGGGCAATTCCACCCTCCCAGCATCCCCCTGACTGGAGCTTTATCCTGTCAGGCCTCCACTAGCTACATTTAGCTCAGGTCCAGGTACCACATGCTAAAGCTCAGAAATGAACTGGGAAGGCAACCTCAACCCACACGCTCTGTCCCAGATCTCCTCCTGCCTGGCTGGCACTGGAAATGCAGCAGTCACCTCCCTGTGCTGCCCTGACAGCCGTGTACACCCATCTTCCCTCAGCAGGTTAGGCCAAAATACCCCCTTTTCTAGCTGGCTACCAGCACAGGTAGGGGAAGTTTGAATAGGTTTGCCCTCACCACTCCATTGCTTTGCCTTGTCCCTACAGACTATGCTGAGCCAGCAATGATTTTGACTGGGTGTGATTCATCCAGGTCTGATTTAGCCACAAAACTACTAATTTAAGGTGTGGGGAGAGATATTTTCTCTTTTCCTAAGGCAGAGCAGGCAGACAGGTCTTTTCAGGAAGGTTTCCCTCTGTGCCTTGCCCAACCCTGGCAAAGCACTGCTCCATCCCCACATCCCCATGCAGAGAGGAATGACAGAACCAAAAGGAATCTTGCAACATTTTGCCAAAGTTTTCTAGACAGAGAAAAAACCTGGGAAAACCTGGGGGGTTGAGGGGGTGCTGAGGAGGTCAGGCTGTGGCTGAGGATGAGGGCAAGAGGTAGGACAGGTACAAAACTTTGTCTCTGGGAGACTTTTTGCTGTCATGACTCAGGCATATCCAGCCTGAGGTTTCAAGAGCTGGTCACATCCTCTCCACAGTGGGGTTTCTATTCTTATGTTATGTTTATTTGGTAGCCAGGAGGGTCACAGTGATTTCCGCTGTGCAGTCCCTCCACGGAGCCCATGAGGTTTTCCTAAAGTTGTTAGGAATATCTCTTGGCTAATCCAGGCCAACCTTTACTATTATGATTAAGTCATGAAGCAATTCATGAGTTGTCTCTATTATAAATCCCATTTAAATTATTAATAGGGGAATCTGCCTTTTATACATGTTCTCTGTAAACCTTGGGCTCTGGAGGCTTTCTGGTGCTCATTCCAGCCAGCTCTCCTCCCTCCATAATTAATGCTGTTCTCTGCATTAACTGCTCCCAAAGACAGCGCTGCAGGGTGCATCAGTCTTGTTGCACCTCCCAGGACCAGTATTTTGCCTGGAAATAGTTGTAGCACAAAAAAATGCAGGACTGGAGTGCAGGAGCCACATGGTAATGAATTCTTGGGGTGTTTTCCTGTGAGGCTACTCTCATCCATATTATGATCTCTGCACAGGGAAAGATTCTGGGCCCCAGGGCAAAGCCAAAGGGGACCTGGGCAGGGAAATTTTCCTCAGGGAAAGAGATGACCCAGCTCCTCTGGCCCACATGCCAGGGCTTCACCCAGACATTTCTGACTCTGAACATCCCCCCAGCTCCTGTGCAGGCTCCCAGCTCACGAGGCTGCTCTGAATGTACAAGTGACCTGCAAACAGCCTAGTTAGGGAGGAGGGAGAAATCTCCGGCTGCGGATCTGGACGCAGGTTGCTGCCTCTCAGCACTCAGGTCTGTGCAGCAGCGTGCGTCTGGCAGAGGTGCAAGGCTCCCTCCTGCCAACAGCTCCACCCATCAGGTCAGCCTTTTCCCAGGAGCTGTTTGGTGTTTGGGATGTTTTTTCCATGGTAAAGCGCTGATTCACCACAGTGAGCGTTCACTGAAGCGTGTGGTGGTGAGCAGGCTCCAGGCAGGTTGTAGGGCAGCGCTTTGTGCAAGGCAGGATGATGGTCTCCTGCCAGACCACGCTCCTGCATTGCTTGTGTTCCTCAAGCTCCTTGGATTTTGGCTTCAGGTCACTTCCTCCGGGTCTGTGGGATGGCAGGAAGCACAGTGCTGGATGCTGTGGTATGTGCCTGGTGTCTGGAACCTGCGTTGCCTCCCAGGGCATGAAATCAGTCCTTGATCTGCTGGGGCTGTTTGTGCACCTGATTAAACACATTCCTTCACGCTCATCCTGCACTTCACAAGGGGGACACACAGTGTCTGAAGTGGTGCCAGGGTAGGTTACACCCCAGGGTGCCTCAGGGCAGGGGAGGTGATGCAGGAACGGGATCAGTCATGTGCACAGACTCCTCTGGATATTGGGAAGATGCTGAAGCACCTTCCAGGGTGGGGACAAAGGGCTGAGGTGTCCCAGGATGGAGAAGGGCTGCTGGAGCTGCATTGAACTAAACACAAATCAAGGGGGGAAACAACATATACAGCCAAGTGCATCAGAGGTGGATGCAGAGAGTGGGGAGGTTCCACCCCAGCACCTCGTTGGCTCAGCCCTGCAGCCTCAGGGGTGACAGCAGCCCTGTGACAGAGGGGACACAGTGTTTTCCAGAACTGCATCTACAGGAACACCCATGTCCTGAAAGACAGAGCCAAATCCACTTCTGAGCAAGAAGCCTGTTAGCAGAGTGTTTATTTTAACTTATGTCCCTGCGAAAGGGTTGAAAGTGCCTCGGTTTCCTGAAAGGATGGGAGTGTTTGCTCCAGTGGCTCTGTGAACAAAACCCAGACACCAACAGAGGAGAGGGAGGGTGTTGCATTTGCACTGCAGGTCTCGCTTAGGTCAAGGACTTGGAGGGACAGGAGCAGAAGGGAAGATTGGCTCCTCAGGGGTGCAATGTGGGTACCAGGACTATGGGCTGGCAGCTCTCAGGAGGTGACAGCACCACCTCAGCTCTGACACCCACACAGCTCCCTCATCCCTCCTGCTCAGGAACAAGCAAGTCTTGCTCCCTGTGGGAGAGCCCTGGGACTTCCCATGGAGGGCTGGAGAGGCAGAGGGGTGCCATGAGTTTAAACCCAGCAGCCTTCTGGGGGGAGTGCTGTGGGCTCACAGCAGTAAAGTAGCACAAAGGCTGCCCAGTGACCCAGCAAGGCTGCGTGGCTGTGACTACAGCTGTGTGCAGCAGCTGCAGGAGATGCTCACTTTACTAAACAGTTTTGGACCTAGTCCAGTGAGCCCAGAGTCCTCCCAAAGAGGTTTTCCAACAAGCCCTCCCCAAATATCTGGCCCCTGGCTGCTCACTGTGCCTGCAGGCTCCAGCATCGCCTGCACCTCTGCTGACACATCTTTACATGGTCCTTGCAGACAATCCTGGTTGGAGACAGCGGCGTGGGGAAGACGTCTCTGCTGGTCCAGTTTGACCAGGGCAAGTTCATTCCTGGCTCCTTCTCCGCCACCGTGGGCATTGGGTTTACGGTAAGAGCCTAATCCCTGGTCCCTGGGTTGTGCACCAATCATGAGGAGCAGCTTTACTTGGGAATCAGAATCTATGAATCTGTGATTCTGATCATTTTAAGCACAAAGAATTGGATAATTTGCTTTGGTGCTGCTGGATCAGGGGCCCAGTTTGGCTGTGTGCTTGTTGGCATGCTTTGGACTGCTTAGAGGGATGGGTGGACAAAGTTCCACATCCCAAAAGACTTGGTGGGGCCGTGTTTGAGTGCAGCCTCTTGCATCACACATGGAAAGCTGATTTTCGAGTAGCCCTGCTCTGCCAGGGAGATGCCAGCCTGTGTCCTGCCTGTGTCCAGCCCAGGGCCCTCACAAAAAGTCAGGCAGATGGTGACAGTGCCTGGGAAAAGCACTCGGCTGCCATCCAGAGCTATTTGCAGAGCTGCCGCAGGGTCTCCAGTGGCTCTGATGTGTATGTCCCCTCTCCTAAGGGAGGTCAGGAGGGACAGTGCTTGGGATGGAGAAATTGTCATCCCTTCAGCATCGTGGCAAGGCTGGGGCTCAGCAAGGGGCTGTTACCCATGGGGATGCTATTACCCACAGGGATTTTCTCTCTTGTCCAGGCCAAGGAAGCAGGGAAACATGTGGTACCAGTGTGGGGAGTCTGGGGCCAAGCAGCCCAGGGGCTGTCAGCCAAGGGCACCCCTGTGGGCAGGCAGAGGAAGCTCAGCCACACTACTGATCTCTGCCGGCTCCTTGCTGCCTTGCTCCTCCTGCAGCAAATGCCAGCGTGTGGAAGTGATGCTCGGCCAGGCGTCTTTCCTGCCTAGGCAACTCCACGAGCTCCAGCATGGTTTGCCATATCCTTCCAGCCCCTTCCCCAGCGAGCTCCAGGAAAGCTCAGCCACTTCCAGGAGCTCCGAGTGCCTCCAGCCTCCACCTCTGGGCACTTTCCTGGCCAAAGAACATATATAAACTATAAATCCCCCAGCTGGGTCTGAGCGCAGTTACAGGACTGGAAATACAGGTTCTGTTTCCTGAGGGGCAGAGGAAGGCTTGGCTGGAGCAGGGGCCGGTGTCCCGGAGAGGTGCAGAGGCGGGTGCCATCACAGAGGGCATCTCTGCCATCAGCCCTCCTGCAGCCACCTGTGGCCTTCACCTCTAGAGCAGCGAGGGGTACGGCTCTGCACTGGAGCCCTGCACCCCTGGATCCCCGTGGCATGAGCAGGGATGGGGGTTGCCCTGAGATTAGCCCTGGCGTGGGAGAGATGGGCTGGGTATCCCAGGGAAAATAGATGAGAGGGAGCTCAAGGCTCCTGTCCGTGGAGTGGTGCCCGTAAGGCTGAAGACCTTGGGCAGCTGCAGTGTGTGGACATGGATGGGGGTTTACAGAGTTAAAACCCCATAACTCGACATCCCTGTCTCTCTCCAGGGGCTTCTCCTGCATTCCCATGCTTGGGCTTTTCCCAAACGATGTGTGCTATGAGCCGAGCCCCAGTGGCTGGTGTAGGATGCGGAGGGCTGTGAGCAGCCGGGGGAGCGGGAGGTCTGGCAGCCGTCCCGGCCGAGATGCAGGAACCGGCTCGGCACAGAGCGCGGCTTCCGGGTAACGGCGGCTGCTCCCGCTTCCCCCCGGCTTTGCTGCACCCTGGTGCTCACCCAGCTCGGCACCGCTGGGGCTGCAGCGGATGGGACAAACCCCCTACCCTGGGGTGGGAGTGGGAGCTGCCATCCCCACTGTCCCGGCGTGGCAGGGTGGGATTTGGCAGCACCATGGTCTCCATCCCTACACTCCGTGTGGGACAGGGGGCTGTTCATTTGTGGGGTGAGCTGTTCCTCCTCTCCCCATCCATGTGCCGGGAGGGATGTGCCAGTGCTCTGCCCGCCGGCCGGTGCAGCCCAGCCTCTGGCAAACCCAAGCACCCCGGGGGTCCCCGGTGTGGGAGTGCAGCGGGGCAGGTTACCACCCTTCGGCTTCATCTTCCTCATCCCGTGGCTGGGCTGGGCACGGAGGCCGCCGGGGCACAGCCTCGGGGGTGGCATTGACCTGGGAGGAGGAGGAAGAGGAGGAAGAGGAGGAGGAAGGCGGGTGGGGCTGCGGCTCCCGCTGGTCCCGCGGCGTCGGGACTCGGCGGCTCCGCTCGGACGCACCATGAGCGGCCCCGACGGGGCGGCGGAGACCGGGCCCCCCCCGGCGGGGAGCGGGGAAGCCCCGAAAGGCAGTGGGGACCCTCCGGCGTCGCCCCGGGAGTACGAGCTGGCCGGCAAGGTGGGAGGCAGCGCGGGATGAGAAGGGATGGACCCACCAATCCCTGCCAGGGCTGGAGGTTTGGGTTCGTCCACCGACCCGAGGGAGACCGAGAGGGGTCCGAGGGCGTGCCGGGGGCCGCCCGCTTCCTCCGCTGCTGCTATCGCGCCCAGGAAGGGGCCGCGAGACGGGGAAGGAGAAGGCGGCAGCAGCCCCGGCTGAACCCCCCCCGCCCTTCCCGCCCCTGCCCCGGGAGTGCCCAGATCTTGCAGGTGTGGGGATGGGGGTCCTCCCTCCCCGGGAGGTGGAGATAGGGGGCCCCTGCCGGGGGCGGGGGGAGGTCTGTGCCCCAGGGGTGTCCCTGCCCGGCAGTGGCAATGGGAGGGACCAGCTGCAGGAACAGGGCTTTGGGAGGACTCCCCGGGGGGTGTCAGGGCCAAACTCTGCTCTCTGAAAGCCTGTCCTGACCTGCTTCAGGCAAGGGGCTCCTGCCGGCCCGGCAGTGGTGCCCCCCATGGCACAGGACAGGGGAAGCAGGACCCCATCCAGCCCATCACAGCACTCCAAGGGCTCCAAGGAGGCAGCAGTGTGTGTGCCCCGGCGCCGGTCCAGGACCTCCCCCCTCTCCCGCCCCGCAGCCCCCCGCCTTGCAAATGCCTCTGCACCCCTGCCAAGCCTTGGGGTGGGAACCCTCCTCCCTGAGTGCTCCCCTCTTCCCCATCCCAGATCGGGCGAGGGCTGCCCCAGGAAGCACCTTCCTCTTCCCGGCAGCTCAGGGGAGGCACAGGACCAATGAACCTTTTACCTGAAAGATTTAATATGCAGCCCCAGGCCGAGCTCAGCACTGATGGTGTCAGCCCAAACACCTCCTGCTGCCTTGCTTAGCCGGCTCTCAAAGTGGTTCTGCACGCTGCCACTTTCCCTAAACCATTTTCATTCCTTTGCCTTTATCCTCTCTGCTCTGACTCATCTCAGTGGAGGGCAATTTTTATGTTTGAGGGAGTGAGGTGGAGGCAGAAAGGAGGGGTGTTCCCAGCTGCCCTCCAGGGTCAGGGAAGGACTTGACCAGCAAAGTGAGTTGGCAGGAGGCAAAGCACTTCCAGCCCCCAGCTCTGGCATTTGCTGTGCCACCCCTGTGGAAGGTGGCTCACTGTGTTTGCCTGTCACAGAGGCAATGGGGCTGCAGAGGTTTGCTTTGCAGGCTCCAACATCCCGGCAGGGTGGGAGTGTGGGGATGGACCTTTTTGCTGGAGTCCTGCTTGCTGCCATTTTTCGTCAGGGGATAGATGCAGGCAGAGTTAGGTTAATGATTGCTGGGCAGGAACAGGCTGCTGCAGGTGAGCAGGAAGAGCACAGCATCGGGAAAGGCTGTGATTATGGAGCCCAGTATCCGTCCTGGCTGCTACCTGCCTGGGTCCGGTGGTGCTGGAGTGGCCAGGGAGCCCGGGGGTTGAGCCTGTTTGCTTAGCAGGAGGGGAAAAAGCACCGTGTTTGCTTTGGTGTCTGCAGCAGGCCGGGCCCTGGGCACAGACAGAGTCCCGGACACGGGGTTTGCCCAAGCCATGCATCAGCAGCTCTCGGGCTGGGCACACCCGGGCCAGGGGCAACGCGTGGGCGGAGGTGGCTCCATGAATGTGGGAGCTACTGCCGGTTTTCCAGGAGCCTCCTGAGCTGGAAGATGGCGAGGGGCTGGCTAGGAAACATCTCCTCTTGCTGTGGTACCTGCCTTCCCGCCAGGTCTCATCTTCTGCTCTCCCCCTCTTCCGTGGCTGTGGGTGCTTTGCTGCCCTGGGGCACCACTTGGTTGCACCTCTGGGTGTCCCATCCTGCCTCCAGCTCCCACGGGGCTCCCTAAACCCGGCAGGACTAGCCCTGGAGAAAGAAACAGAGGGACAGAGGGGTCTGGGGGGGAGCTCAGCACCGCTCAGTGATGCTGCTCCCTCCCGCTGACACCTCTCCCTGCACACATCTTGCAGGTGATGTTACTTGGAGACTCGGGCGTGGGGAAAACCTGCTTCCTGCTCCAGTTCAAAGACGGGGCCTTTCTCTCCGGGACGTTCATAGCCACCGTGGGCATAGATTTCCGGGTGAGACCACCACAGCTGCCAGCCCCTTGCCTTCCCTGACCCCCACCTCGACCAGGATGGGGTGCTGGGAAGGGGGAGCAGCCTCTGCACCCCAAATAAACTCCCAACCAGCAGCAGTCACTTGCTGAAACCCTCCCACCTCTCCCTGGGAGAGCAGCAACAGACAGAAGAGCCCACTGGTGTTGTCACCTCTTGTCTTTAAATCAGCAAACAGCTCATCCTGGCTGGGTGTGTGGGCTGGGGGTGCAGTGGGCGGCCAGCATGCTCCACCAGCTGGGCTGAGGCCAAGGGCTGGCGGGGTCAACTCTGGCTGTTGTAACCTTGTGCTTTGAAAGGGCTGAAATGGGCTGCTGAGCAGTTGTTAAGATCACCAAATCCTGCTCAAACCCCCATGCTGCTCTCTGCTCACCAAATTTCAGTGGCAGGGTCTCTCTGGAGGTGTTCAGGGAGGCAGAGCTGTTTGCAGCACAGGGCAGAGCAGCATTTCAGCAGGCTGGAAGTCATGGGGGTGTCCCCAGGCAGGGCTCTGCCTGCAACATCCGACACGTGTGGAGCGCGGTCGCTGCTTCCTCTGCCCCCACAGCTGCAGCTGCTCTGGTTTCCCGCCTTGTGGTGGAACTGGGGGCTTGGTGAGCAGGGCCTGGGGGACAGAGAGGGCTATGGGTTTGCTTTGGAGGGGTTATGAGGCCTGTCCTTCTGATAAAGTCATGAAAGAGGTAAAATCTCCTGTGTTCCTCTGCTGGGCTCCGCACTGGTGTCCCTGAGGGTGTTGCCAGCCCTCAGGTACCTGCCCTGCCTTGTGCAAGCATCTCCTCCAGCAGCTCACGGCTCGCTGCTGGTAGGAAATCTCCAGAGCCTCCTAGGGCACGTTTTTGTTTTATCCAGCCCATTTGTTCAAGTTTTGTCATCTCCACAGGGGCTGAATTTCCACTTCAAACAATTCCAGGCAACCAAATTATTTATAGGGGTCTTCTCTTTTCAGACTTATCCCTCCAAGTATGATTCTTTAAGAGTCTTAAAAATAGCTTTTCAGTAACTTCTGCGTTTCTTTCTTCTGGCCTCTGGAGAGAAGTCCCTGCGCTTCCGAGTTGAGTAGAGCTGTTGCTTAAGCCCTGATAGCTGCCTTTCCTGCTCACATGGAAGTGCCTCTTCCCCTTCCTAGTCCCAGCCCAGTTGCCTGACTGCAAACCATCGTGACCCAGGAGATTTCCTCCTGCCACACTGGATAAAGTTGCATGCTACATGCAACCCCCTAACTCAGTGTTTGCAACCACATTTAAGGACCAAGCAAGGCTCCCACCATCAAGGATACCTGAGCAGGACATCCAAACCATCCACTGAGTGTCCCCAGGAAGCTTGTAGCACCCAAAGCCCTTAAATTGCTGTAAATAACCCAAATTTTTAGCACAGAGCTGGCTCCTCCAGCACACGGAGCAGAGGAATCCTGACAGAAAGGTCAGGGCTTTTTGATGGGCAAACTTTATAAAAGCACACCAAGGTGTTATTAATAAATGCACATTTGTGTGTGGTTCATACAGACCTCCCCACTTCCCCAGCTCTGCCCAACTTCCCTGGCCAGGCAGACAGGAACTGCTGCAATCCTGGAGCTTCCCGGCAGGAGTCAGAGTGGGTCGGTGTCCCTAGGATTTGCAGGACAACTGGCATCATTAGCTGGCTTGTTAGGGGACCCAGGAGCCACAGGACAGGGTGCTGGCTGTAGGAGATGAGCAACACACCAGACCCAAAGCAGGCTGGGATCTTGCTGTCCTGTCTCCACTGGTTCTGCTCTTTTCCATCCTGGAGAGAGGGACTGTTGCTCTGGGATGTCCCTGTAGCTGCCAAGCAAGCAGGATCAGGGTTTGTAGCAATGAGGCTGCAACATCCAGCCCCATGGGAAGCCTGGCTTCATCCCACCGGCTGTGGGAGAGCAGCTGAGGGGCTGGGGAGTGCCAGCTCTGCACCAGGGCTGGCTGGCACATGTGCCAAGACATTTATCAGGGCTGGCTGATTAATGTGCTCTCCTTCTCTTCTGCAGAACAAAGTGGTGGCCGTGGATGGTGTGAAGGTGAAGTTACAGGTGAGTTCTGGGCAGGGGGAAGCAATTCCCAGCCACATTGCTGGAAACCTCCCCCAGGCTGAGCGTCGTGGGCCGTTGGGGCATGGAGCCACAGAGGTATCCTCAGCTGGGAGGGTGTTTCCCCTCCCTGATCTCACCGGGGTGGCTTCTTGGCAGATCTGGGACACGGCAGGACAGGAGCGGTTCCGCAGCGTCACCCACGCCTACTACAGGGATGCCCAAGGTGGGTTTGGGGTCTGGCAGGGATGGGGGAACTGCCTGGAATGCATCCCTGCAGCGTGACAATGCCTCTGCCTCTTCCCCTCCAGCCCTGCTCCTGCTCTACGATATCACCAGCAAGATGTCCTTTGACAACATCCGCGTGAGTCCCCCCGTGGGTCAGGAGTGTGTTCCTCCCCAGGGACTGGGGTCGTGGGTGCCCTGCTTGGCTGGATGGGTGTTTAGGGCAGTTGGAAACCTGTTTTACAAATAAGTGCTGGCTGGTTTGGCCAGACTCAGCCAGTCTGGAGCTCGTCCCAGGGCACCTGGCTGGGTCCTGCATGGCTGGGTGAGTTTTGTCCAGGGACACGGAGAATGCCTGGAGGGAGAAAACGCTGTTTGGGAAGGATGTGAACTACTCGTACGCTTGGGCTGTAGCCAGGAGACGGGGCGTTTTCAAGGCTGTTCGGCTTTGATGCTGGAATAGTTCCCGTGCCAACAAAATAGTCATTATCCCTGTCCTCGTGGGGTGGTGTGAGGGCTGAGGGGAGGGGCAGGATTACCAAGAGGATGTGAGGGCTGAGGAGGGAGGAACAGGGGTACCATGGGGATGTAAGGGCTGAGACAGGAGGGACGGGGGTACCGCTCATCCCGACACAGCCCCAATTCCCTGCAGGCCTGGCTGACGGAGATCCACGAGTACGCACAGAAGGACGTGGTCATCATGCTGCTGGGCAACAAGGTGCATGCAGGGTCCCCTGGCCCTGTGCTTTGCCATGTGGTGCTGTGCCATGCCCTGGCCATCCCCATGGCTGTGCAGGGATGGGCTCGGTGGGCTCTGCCTGCCAGCTGTGTGCACCCTGCCTGCACCCTCCGCTGGGTTCTGCTCCTTTCTGGGCTCAGCCAGGCCCAGAGGTGACCCCAGAGGTTTGGAGGGGGTCGCGGGGTGGGCAGGGTTCCCGACAGCCAGTGGGGGGCAGCACGAGGCTGAGGCTCCCAGTACGGGATGCTCCCTGCATGGGATGCTGCTGGGTATGGGATGCCCACTCTGGCCTGGATGCACCCCTGAATCCCAGGTTACTCCAAGCCCCAAATGCCCAACCAGGTCCCAGATCCTGTCCGGGGGTCCTAGGTGCTATCGGGTGCCCAGTGCCCAGCTGGGTACTGGATTTTTGCCTGGAACTGGATGCCTCTGGATCCTGAATGATGCTGGGTATTTGATGCCCAGAAGGGTACCAGAGCCTCCCTGGGTCCTGGATGCCTGCAAGTACTGGATGCTGCCCCAGATTCCCCATGTCCCCAAGGTCCTGGATGCCCCCTGATATCCTCGATGCCACCAGGTCCCAGATGTTCCGTAGATCCCAGATTCTCTGGGCACTGGATGCTCCTGGATCCCCCATGGCCCTCATTCCTGTCAGCCCTGTGAGCACCCCACACTGCCTGCTTGCCAGATGCCCCAGGGTGCCAGCTGGTCTGGTGTGTGGTGACATTTTCCTTCCCTTGGCAGGCTGATGTGAGCAGCGAGAGGGCTGTGAGGACAGAGGATGGAGCATCGCTGGCCAGGGTGAGCTGTGCCAGGGTCTAACCAAACTTCATCTCCCCCAGTCAGTTGCCTGTCACTCAGGGTCCCCATACAGCTGTGCCATCCCCTCTGATGGGTGCCCAGACCCGCCTGGCTCTCGGGCAGCCACTTAGACAAAAAACCTGGGGCAAGGCAGGGAGGGGATGGCCCCCAAGCCTTGGCCAGGCAACGGGTGATTCAGAGGGGCAGGAGAGCATTCTGGGGATAGCCACTGATGGGGTCGTGCTGCCCTTGCAGGAATATGGGGTGCCTTTCATGGAGACAAGCGCCAAGACAGGCATGAACGTGGAGCTGGCCTTCCTGGCCATTGCCAAGTGAGTACCTGGGGCCAGGGGACTGAGCAAGGGAGGTGTCCCCTGCAGCCCCACCACCTCCCACACTGATGCTGGAGTGTGTGTGTGGGTAACACGGCCCCACCACTGCAGGGAGCTGAAGCAGCGCGCGATGCAGCCGCTGGATGAGCCCCGATTCCAGATCCACGATTATATCGAGTCACAGAAGAAGAAATCCAGCTGCTGTGTCTTCTCCTGAGGGCAGCCGGGAGGAGCCAGCAACCCTGGGGGCACAGGCAGGAGACAGAGAGGGGCCTGATCCTGCCCTCGAGTGCCCGAGGGAACCAGGCTCTAACAAGCCAAGGTGGATGGGACAATACAGCGGAGCAGAGAGTGCACGAGGAGGGCCCTCACCCCAGTTCCAGGATCCAGGGGCCAGATCCTTCTGCCCCGTGAAACAACGCCTGGAGCTTGCTGTGTGCCACTGTGGGAATCACTGTGGTGTGGTGACTGCCAGCCTGGCCAGTGAGCCACAGCGATGCCTCCATCACCCAGGACACAGCCACACACCTCACTGAGGGACACCTGGAGCGGCTGGAGGGGCAGTGCGTGTGCCATGGATGAGCCCCCCGCAGCCCCCAGCCCTCTCCTCCCTTGCAGCCATCCCTGCTCTTGGTTCTGCTCTTGTCCGACTGGAAGGGCCTGATCCAGCCCCTGTGTCCCTGGTGCTGCCAGGCTCTGGCTTCCCTCCAGGGATCCTCAGCTCTGCCCCCGGGGCTGCCCCACGCCCCAACGCTCACATTGGGCTGTGGCTCCTCTCTGCTGCAGTTGCTGCCATTGGCTTTTATCCTCATGCCACCATGAGGGCAGTGATATCCTCATTGTATCCTGGCTCTGCTTGAGGGAAGGGCTGGGATGGGGAAGGGTCCAGCCAAACCTGCTCCCTGCCCATACAACTGTGATAAGAAATAAAACTCCCCTGGGAGCACCCAAGCGATGTTTGGGGCATTTCTAGTACACACAGCAATGTGGAAACAACTTTTTTTTTCCCCATCTTGTAGTCACGGGAATTAGAGGAATTCTTTTTTTTTTTAAGAAAAGCCTTTTAATTTTCAATCCCTCCAGACTAAATCATCTCCAGCCTCATGCAGGAGATGCTCACTGTGGCCTGGAGTGATGCTCCAGCCCTGCTGGCTCCCAGGCCAGGCTGGGTTTCTCTCCCATCGCTGCCCATGGAACACAACTATTCCTTCCTACTGCTGGCAAACAGCGGCTGGAACCCTCTCACTGGAGACCAGATGCCTGAGATCCTCCAGCCAGCAAATGCTGCTCTGTTGGGCATCAGCAGGGCACAGGGGCAAGGCTTGACCTCCATGTTGCTGCACATCCCTGGTGCTCAGCCCAGCACTGCTGACCTTTCCAGCACACTGCCTGCTCCCCTGAGCACTACCCAGGGCAGTCAGACGGTGAATATTTGGTTCTGCAGCTGAAGCGCTCATGTGAAGAGCAGCTGTGGAGGGCATGGCACTGCTGCACGTAGGAGTTGGGGACTGTCCTGCACATCTGTCCCCGTCAGCATCTTCCCTGGCCCTGTGCCCGAGCTGCTCGTCTCTCACCTGCCCCAGTGCCTCCTTTGCCTCTGCACTGCTCCTGGGTCTGTCTTTGCAAGTTTACAGATTAAAGCTGGATATTTTTGAAGCTTTGCATCTGTCTGGTTGTTTATTGCATGAGAAATCCCTGCCCTGGGTCTGCAACGTGGGAGGCTGCTGCACACAGGCGCTGAGGAGCCGCGGGGCCGGGGGGCCGTGGGAGCAGCCATGGGGAGGGGGAAGCACCCACAGTCCCATCCTCCCCACTGGGGCTTTCGTTGCACATTTCAGACAGTCCAAAGGTGAGAGGGGAAGAGTAAACATGGCCTGTTAAATTAAAACCAACCTCCTCCCCTGCTGTTCTCATGGTGCGGAGTCCAGCATTCCCCAAATAACTCCATCTTCCCACCAATGGCATTGCTGCTGCCGCTTGGCTGATGTCTGCAAAAAATGCTGGATGGCTTGAACACAAACAGACGTTGGCTCTTTTCTCTTTTCCCCCCTCCAGCTTGAGCTCCTTTAACGTCACGCCAAGATGCAAAGGGCAGGAGGCAGCTGGGGCGCAACGGTGCTGCCTGTGCCCTGCCATCCTGCGGGCACTGCCGGACCCAAAAGCAACCCCAGCTGTTTCCTCTGCTGCTGCCTTTCCTCCTTATCATGGTCCCATGCTCAAACCAGCCCTGCTGGAGCTGGGTTTTGTTTCCTGACTTAGGGTAGTGTACCTCCATCTCCCCCCGAACGTGCACACTCGGGGCTGTGCTGCTCACAACCCCCTTGCCAAGGGGAGGGCTGTGACATGGGTGATAGATCCCCCCCATCCTGGGGCCATACCACAACATGCTTGCCCTGGTTTTCCTCTCTGCAGGCATCTGCCTCTGGCCGCCGTGGGATTCCTCTCTGCCGTGTTTCTCAGGGCCGAGCGGCCGCGGGCGAATGCTCAGCCGAGTGGAGGAAACAAATGAGCCCACCCTCGGCTCCCAGCTGGGTCCCACGGAGCTGGAGCACGGCCACCCTGAGCACATGAGGGGTTCCTCAGCCACTGAGGTCCCTTCAGCAGGAGATTCGAGTGGAGTCTCCTATGAGGGACGTGTCCCATGGCATGCAGCCGTCCCCTCCTTGCTTGCCTGGCTGCAGCTCGGTGAAACACGATCCCAGCTGCCCTGAGGACCTTTGGCCAGGTGGAACTTCAGCCAGCCCTGGCAGTGGGAGACACCGACTTACCTCTGTGCCACCCTCCCTGGGACAATTCCAGGAGCCAGCTCTGCCTGGCACCAGCACTCCTGCTGCAGTGCTGGAGCAGCCCGGGCTTGCTGCTGCCTTGCTCTGCCCTGGCTGACCCCAAACCCCAGGATCTCACACGCTCATAACCCACTGCAGCCACTTCTGCTTCCCAACCCACAAGCAGAGAATGTGGAGCCAGGGCAGTGCAAACCCCCTGGGGTTTCCTCTATTTTCCCACCTTCCTGCTCCCTGCTCCAGGGTGCCAAGGGGGAGTCAGAGACTGCTGGGAGAGCAGGGCTGCTCCATTTCCGCCGCACAGTGGGTTACCCGAGTTACCGGCCAGCCCGGCCTCCCCGGCCGCGTTCACACGCGGTTTCGGTTTGGGGTTTTTGTCTCATTCTGAGCATCCCTCCAGCCCTCCGCCTCGGAGCAGCCCTGGGACCGGCATCGCCCTTCGAGGACCGGGCGAGGGAATGGGGTGGACATGCCCCCGAGAGGACAATGTGTACCAGCCGGGGTGCGCTGTGGGCAGAGCGGGGACAAGGGGGAGTGCCCCGCCGGTCTCAGGCCAGCCGGGGCTGTCCCCGGAGGGGTGGCAGAGCCGACCCGAAGAGGAGGGAGCTCAGCGGGGAGCGGAGGCTGCCGCGGCGGGCCCGGATGGCTGACACGGAGAGGCAGAGGTGGCCGCGGGGGCGAGGTGGAACCCCACGGGGGAGCGATCCAGCCCCGCTGCCGGCGGCAGGACCCCACAGGAGAGCGGACCGGCTCCCACGCGGGAGCGATGGAACTCCACGGGGAATCGGTCCAGTTCCTACGGGAGAGCGGTTGGACCCCACGGGGGAGCGGCCAGACCCCACGAGAGATCGGCCCGACCTCACGGGGGAGCGGCCTGGCCCCAGAGCGAGCGGTCGGACCCCACAAGGGAGCGGTCCGGCCCCGCTGCCGGCGGCAGGACCCGGCGGCGCCGCCGCGCCCGGGCCGCCCCAGCGGGGCGAGAACACATTTGCATACCCACGGCGAGCAGATTTGCATAGCCACACCCCAAATATTTGCATAACCGCGCCCCATCGCTCTCCTTATTTGGTGGCCATCTCCCCGTCCCGCTCTCCCATTGGCCACCCCGCGCCCCGCGCCCCGCCCCCGTATATAGGCGGGCGGCACGGCCCGGGCCGCGCAGTTCTCTGAGCGCGGGCGGCGGGACGGGGCGGCCACAGCTCCGCCCGCTCCCCCCGCCATGAGCAGCGGCGCGGGCCCCGCCGCCCGGCTGTGCCGCCTGGAGCGCGGCCCGGACGGCTACGGCTTCCACCTGCACGGGGAGAAGGGCAAGCCGGGCCAGTTCATCCGGCTCGTGGAAGCGGGCTCGCCGGCCGAGCGCTCGGGGCTGCGGGCCGGGGACCGGCTGCTGGAGGTGGATGGCGAGAACGTGGAGCGGGAGAGCCATCAGCAGGTGGTGGAGCGGATCCGCGCCGCCGCTGGCACCGTCAGCCTCCTCGTCGTGGACTCGACGGCCGACGAGCAGCTGTCGAAGCGGGCCGGGGCGGTTGCCGAGCCCCCGGTGGTCGGCGGGCAGGCCGCCCCCGTGCCGGTGCCGGTGCCGGTGCCGGCGGAGCCCGCGGCGCGGGAGCCCAACGGCGGCGACCAGCGGGTAAACGGGCGGCCGGGGGGGGCTGGGGCTCGGAAAAGTTTCCGGGAAAGGGGGTGATGTCCGAGGAGGGGAGGTCGGACCTCCCGGGACCGACCCTGTTCGTCGCCTTCCAGCCCTGGAGCGAGCGCATCTACCTCGGCCTCCCGCGGGCGCTGTGTCTGGTTTCGGTCTCGATTCTTTCTTTCTCTATTTTGCTTTGCTTTAAACGCCGCTCCCCAGGAGCCCCGGGCCCTACCGCGCCCGGCTGCTTTGCCTTTTTTATTTTAAATTAATTTTTTTGTTTGCTTGATGCTCTTCTCTCCCAGCCATGCCGGTGACGGGCGGGGGCAGGCGGGCACACCGGGCTGGTTGGACCCGTAACCGAGCAGCCTGTTGTGTCCTGGAGCCCTTCGGCCCGTCCTGATGCTGCAGGGCCAGTAAAATGGGGTGAGGAAAGTGACAGGGCGAGCTTTGACGTGTAGCTGAGCCCAGGTCTGGGGTGAGGGTGGCTGGCACTAACCCACGCCAAAATACCACAAAAAACCTGTGGCAGAGCATGTTTTTGCGGGCTGTGACTGCAGGTGTTGGTGGCAGTCACTCCTGCCCTGAGCATGTTCGGTCTCTGCTGTGGAGTGGAGATAGTGGAGCCCTTCCCGGGCTGGAGGACTCATCCTGACAGTCAGACCCCATGTACAGATACTCAGGAATGCTGGCCTTCAATGTGTGTGGGAGTTAGCAGTTGCACAAACAAAGTGATGTAGAAAGGTGAGGAATTGAGAAATAGCTGACCTTTCCTGCTCAGAGTGGTTCCTAAGAAACACTCTGGGCAGCGGGAGATAATACTGCTTTTTATTTACCCAGCAAAGACTTGTTTGTTGTGACAACAGAGATGTGGATGGTCTTCCTGGGAAGCAGCCTCCTGGTGTCCCCAGGGTGGGGAACGTTCTGGGGAAATCTTGTGACCCGTTCCCAGAGAGACTGGTGCAAGGGAGCCCTCCCAGTGTAGACACTGAACCCCAGGCAGACCTTGGTGCCTCGCTGAGCTGTTGTCACACAGGGTTTTGCTTAGGACCAGGTGGTTTTGAGTTGTGTCTCCTGCTGGACTTCAGCCTTGTGCCAGCTGCCTGTTGCCCCTGGTCAGGCTGATCCACTGCAGGCACAATTCTCATCCCTGCCTGGCTAAAGCACTGCTCCAGCACCTCCTCGATGGGCTTGTTCAGGTGGGAACATCCAGGCTCTGCCCTTGTGCTGCCCCTCTTGCTCGCTGTCCCCTGTGTCATCCCATGTTCCCCAGGTCTGGCCCCGTGCCGGGCTGTGGTGCTGCCCCACGCGGGGGGAGCGTGCCCGTTCTCCCGTATGTCACAGTGCCAGCGCTGCCTCGGGGCCCGCGAGACCGTCTGTGCTCTGCTTTCCACTCCCAGATCTCTCCACAGGCTGGGAAAGACAAAAAGAATGTACTTAATGCAGCTCGGGTGAGCCCCCTGCCAGGCTTGGCGGGCTGAGGACATAGGGAACAGAGCCCTGCCATGTTGTGGGGTGGCTGCCTGCTCGCTGTGTTGGCTGGAGTGATGGAAAGGGCGTGGGAAGCTGGAGATGCCCCATAAGCTCTTGGGGGACAGCCCCGTCTGGAGATGCCTCACAGGCTTTGGGGGGACAGCCTTGGCTGGAGATTCCCCACAGACTGGTGGGGGACAGTCTTAGCTGGAGATTGCTCACAGGCTTGGGGAGCAGGCTCGGGGCACAGCCCGTGCACAGTTACTACCGGCGGTTTCTCTGTTCACAAGAGCAGGAAGCGGGTGACGTGGGGTGACATGGGGTGACATTACCGCAAGGCCCCAGGACAGTTTCTCAACAGGTATCAGCAGGAAATCTTGCGGCTGGGGACAGGGCCTGGTGGAAAAGGCAAGTGGGTTTGGAGACATCGCCCCGGCTGGGCACCCACCAAGCAGGGTGGGAAGATGCCGGGCGGGATGGGAGCCAAGCCGGAACAGGCAGAAAGGGATTTCTCTCTGGCAAGCCAGGAACACAGTGTCGTGCCTGTTCTCCGGACACTGGCGGACAGCCGGTGCTGGCCACCCCATCCCCCTGCAGCCCCAGCACTCTGGGTGGGTGGGATTCCCCGGGATCACTGGGGAAGCGGGAGATTTGCATGTGTCAGAGTCCTGTTTGTTTTGTTGGGCTGGACTTGCCTTTATTTGCTTAACAAGCCTGGAGACACTTGAGAGCTGTGAGAGCTGCCTGTGGCAAGTGATCGTTTAACGTCTCCCACTTTCCAGCAGAATCCATCCTCTCTCCAAACCCTGCTGGGTCTTGCATGACTGGGACCCCCCTGTGCTAGGGGGTCAGTCACACCCCCAGCTCTCAGTGCTGGGCGTGGGCTGAAGAGATTTTGACAAGCTCATCGTGGGCTCCCTTTTCATTCCCATAAAACCTTAGACATTCAAATCCCCCTGATGCTGAGATGGAGGTTTTGAGCCTCCCTGGGGAGCTGATCCTTGCACCCCTGTCTGTGGTGCTGAGCCAGCAGTGATAGTTTTACACCCCTGAGGCCAACCCCGCTTCCTGGGGCCCTGTGCTGTGTGAGTGTCCCCAGCGAGAGCTCTTACAGTTCATCCCCCCCTCCTTGTGTTTCCGGAGGCTTCAACTGCTCAGGAGTATCTTGAGAAAGTTTCATGCAAACCACACGGTGTTCACGGGGCAGCACCAGGTGCTGCAAGCCCAGCACCCTGGCATGGGCTGGGGCTGCTTGTACCAGGGCAGGGTGTTTCCTACCAGCCCCGGGCCTCCCTCTTGCAAATTTAGTGCTAAATTAGAGCCCTCCCTGCCAGCAAGGCTCATCCCTCCTTGTAAAATCTGGGTGAGCCTCCCAGGGCTGGGTTTTGGGGCATAACGGGGAGCATTTCCCCCTTCATTGGGAGCATTGCACTGGGAGGTAGCTGATGTTTAATTAGGAAATGAATTAAATTTCCTCTCAAGGCAGCTGCATGAAAAGCAGCTCCAGTCGAACAGGACGTGACAGGGATGCTGCAAGGAGGCTGCTTTGCATCCCCTTTGTATGAAGGCAGAATGTGTGCGCCAGATTTCGGGACCCGTGTGAATTTTCTGGCCCAGGCGTTCTCGAGCTGTTGTGTTTCTCTTTGAGTAACTGGAAATGCTGCTGCTGCCGATGGGCTTGATGCTGCTTGTAGGGCTGGGAGGTGGGGAGCGGGTCCTGATGCCTGTTTACTTGGGGTTCCCATGATCCTGGGATTGCTGGTCCTGCCAGGGGGCTGAAGGTGCTGTGGAGGGTTGGTCCAGCAGCTCCTGGAGGGAGAAGCATATGCCCCAAATCCTGTTCCAGGGTAGGAATAGGGATGCATTGCTGCAAAGCTCCCCATGTCAAGTGGGTATCTCTGCAGACAGGTGTCTGTCCCTCTGCCGCCCCTGGGTGTGGAGGAGAGGGGTGGCACGGGATGCCCGTGCGGGGGGGCTGAGTCCGGCTTCCCCCCGCCTCCCTCCCCGCCGGAGGTTGTAATTGCTCCTAAGGAGGCTCTGCCGGCTAATCCGTGTCCCAGCACGGCGGGAGGGCTGCTGGCCTTGGAGGAGAGGATGCAGCAGCTTAGAGAAATTAGGGGCATTTCCGCTGTCCTGCTGCCCAGCTCCATAGCCACGGGATTTCTCTGCATCCCGGGTGTTGGCCCCAAACCCTCTCTCCTCGGGTTGTTAAGCCTGAAGGGGGTTTTGGGGCTGGAAGGATGACCTACCACGGGGTGCTTGACTCGTGGATGGGCAGGATATAGCTGCTGGAGGATTGGATGCATTTGTTTTCCTCTCTGAGAGGCAGAATGGTGGCTGCCCACGGGGTTTCTGCTGGCACTGGGGATTTGGGGAGGGCACAGGCAGCCTGGCACACTGGGTTGGAGGAGCTGCCAGCCACTGGTGGAGGGGTGCTGGGGGGGTGGGTCACGGCCCGGCCGGGCTGCCCTCACACCGAGTGCTCCTGCCTTGGCCAGCTGCCTTTGAGGGATCAGTGCCTCCCTCTACCATGACCTGTCCCCCTGTCCTGAGGCATCTGTCCACCCTGCAGGGCTTCCCACCCCCTCCCAACGCCCCCCAAAATTCACGGCACCAGTGCCTCAGGGAGCCCAGGCTGCCAGGGCTTTGTTGGTATGGGTGGGAGCGAAGTCCTCCCTCCTCCCATTCTCTCCCGGGAGCACTGCCAGCACCGCTTGCCGGGTGCTCCCTCCGGCTTTGTCCCGAGCTATCGGCGTGGAGCAACCCCACAGTGCTGCCAAGGGCACCGGGAGCGTGGGTGCTCCGGAGCCTGACCCCCCTGCTCGAGGTCAGGCCAGGGCAGGGCCCCAGGGAGGTGCTGCCTTCCTCTAGGCTCCACCAGGCTCCTGCCTTTTGTCCTTATTTTGGGTATTTTCTGTCCCCGTCCAATTGCTGCATGGGTGGACGATGCTGTTGCACACTGTGAACCTGCTGCCACCAGGCACGGGGGGACCAAAGGGCAGCCAGGGCGAAGTTGAGGGTCACGATCCTCCACCCAGCTGGGGAATCCACACTGGGCATTGCCTGTGGAGCTGAGCCAAGTGGGGAGCAGGTCCTGTGTGCCAGTGCTGAGGCATCCCGGGATCACCTTCACTCCTGGCAGACGCGCTGGGTGCTGCCTGCACCTCCCTTCCCGGGGCGTTGGCAAGTGGTGCTGGGGTGGTAGCTGGCCTTGACCATGGAGGAAGGCGTTGTGCAAGAAGATGAGGCTTTATCAGGGCCTTATCACAGCATTTGGCTCAGCAATTGCAAATGCGTCAGCCCGGCCCGTGTGGGACCCTGTGCCACTTCAGTGCTCTCAGATGTGGGGTGTCAGCACTCCAGGACCCAGGTTTTCCTGGCTGAGAGCAAAGGGAACTTCATGGCAAGGAAGCACACGTGCTGTGCAGGGGATAAAGGGCAGCACGGTGCAGGTGTGGGAGGGGAAATTCCTGCAGTGCCTCTTCCCAGTGATCCTATGGGTACCAAAGGAGAAAAAATTATCTCAGAAGAAAGATTAAATACAAAACCTCTTGGCAAGGAATATTCCAGCAGCTTGAGCAAGGCTTGGCTGCTGGGAGAACCCAACCAAAGCCCAGGGGCTGGTGGTCAAGGCAGGATCAAACCATTTTATCTATAAATGTGTGGAAGTGGTGTTGGGTGCTGGGGTCAGAGCAGTTCTGATGGTGCCACGTGCAGGTGGCTGGTTTGTGTCGCCTGCTTCCTCTGATGCTTCCCGGGCATCCCACTCCCCACTGGGTGAGCAAAGGCAGTTCCTGTGTGCCGGGCTCCCGGGGGTGCTCCTGCTTCTTTCTGCTGCTCACAGGGTGGGGAGCTTAAAGGGCTCTCTGTGGGCCGGGTACATGAGGCTGCCCCTGCGGGGTTCCCTGGCGCCAGGTGCTGGTGGATCCACAGGTCAAGGTGAAACCAGGTGCAGATGAGCTGGGTGTTGCCTCCTGGAGAGTTGAACATCCCATGTCGCACCGCCCCGGTGGAGCTGGTTTCTGTTTTGCAATCCTGGAGGGGTCATGCCGGGGCATTGAGGCACCTCGGCATCGCAGCTGCTCCAGCGGGATCCCAGCTGCCTGCCCAAGCCTTTTGTGCCCCTTCCCTGCCGGCAGTGGCTGTGGGTGCTCTGGGGTGGGAGATCTCACTGGTCCCGTGGCTGGGTTTGCTGTGGAGGGGGGCTGCAGCTGGCAAGGGCGTGATGGAAGGGACCTGCTCTGGTGGTTGAGATCTCTCTGGTAGCCAAAGCTTCCCGAGTGGGATGGGGTGGGGTGGGGGTGCTTCCCAGCAGCCTGGGCTGTGTTTCCTCCTCCACCTTCATGGCGGTTGCAATCCTGATCCCAAAAGGAAGAGCGTGGTCTGGGGACACACATAATAACATGTTTCTTCAACGTTTCGCTGCAATTAGTGTGCCCTGCACCTAATTCATTAATTAATGCCTGGGATCATGGGGTGTTTGGCACGCTGCTCCCCAGCTCGAGGTATCAGTGTTTGCAGGTGGCCACACAGGGATGGTGTCCCAGGGAGATGTCTGAGGGTCCTGGTGCTTTCCCTGGGTGTTGGGGGGGATCTGAGAGCAGTTTACCCACAGGCTGTCCCCGTTGCAGGAAGAGCTGCGACCTCGGCTGTGCCACATGAAGAAGGGCCCCGATGGCTATGGCTTCAACCTGCACAGTGACAAGAGCCGCCCGGGGCAGTACGTGCGCGCCGTCGACCCCAACTCGCCGGCCGAGGCAGCAGGGCTGGCCCCCCAGGACCGCATCATCGAGGTATGCTGGGGTGGGCAGGGTTCTGGGGGGGTCTCCCAAAAAACCTTGGTGCTCCCTCGCATCCCCGTGGCCGGGGAGGCAGCTGCCCTTTGCCGGGAAGGTGTGTGGTGTCCCTGACGCTGGTGGTGACTCATAGTGCAGACACCCAACCTGCACCAGCGTGCCAGTCCCACCCAGGGGTGCAGCACTGTGGAGGGTTGGGGCTGAGCACTAATTAGCTGGCTGTGGGTTAATTAGCAGTAGCACTGTCCCTGGGATGCCCCTGGGGTGTGGCAGGCTGGGGACAAGGTGCACGATGGCCCTAAGTTCTGCTGCCAGACATGACCAGGGTGGGGATGGGGCAGGGTTTGTGCCAGGTGGGATGGTGACCCATGAGGGCAAGGACAAACCGAGCCCCAACCCTGCTGCTCACTGGGGCGTGGGGCTGCTGCCTCATTTGGGATGAAGTTTTGGGGTCTCTGGGGACCATGAGGGCTTTGTCTCTTGCCCGTGCTGCCCATCTCCTGTGCCTGCCCCGGGTCTGTGCCCTGCCAGGCGCTCCCTGCCAGCTTTGCCCGTTCGATCCCGTGCTAATCACTCAGAGGAAAATCTGCTTTTAATGAGGTTTTCCTGGCTCCGCCACTAATCCCTGTGAGGCTGTAAATGCCTGCAGGGGCTGCAGGGTGGCTGTGCTGGGGTTGTGACTGGTACCAAGGTAGTACCCGGCCCCTCTGTGGAGCTCTCAAGGGATGGATGAGCCCTGGCTCCAGGGGTGATGTGGTGCCTTGCCTGCAGGTGAATGGTGTGTGCATGGAGGGCAAGCAGCACAGTGACGTGGTGGCAGCCATCAAGGCAGGCGGTGATGAGACCAGGCTGCTGGTGGTGGATGTCCTCACGGATGAGTTCTTCAAGAAGTGCAAGGTGGTGCCCTCGGAGCAACACCTGACAGGTGGGCTGGGGGCTGTGCTGCGGGGATGGGGGTTTGTGTCATCTCTGTCAGCTTTGTGTCACCTTGTCACCAAACCTGGGGTGCTGGGGTGCTCCCTGAGCCCTGGGAGGTGGAGGTTTATCACCCTAGGGCCAAGCAGAGGTGTCTCCTGCCTGTTTGGGGGCCCCGTGCTGGGGTGGTGGTTTATGGCCCTGGGTTGCACTTTGTCAGGGTTTATGGCCTGGGGAGTGAAGAGGCATCAGCTGCCCTTTGCTCTGCTCCATGGGCCCCTCCCTGCTGTCACGGTGGTCCCCAGGAGGATGGAGAGGGGTTCTCACTGGGCTCCACATCACTGCTGCCATCATGGGGATGTGCCTGGCAGCATCTCCCTGTGCTGTGGGGTTGGCTCCAGGGGCTGGTTAGAAAACTCAGGACCTGGCCAGATCCTGGGCAGTGTTGTGTGAGCACTGGCCATGTGCAGCCTTTGATTGCCCCACATTGGTAAGGGGACAAAGCAAATACATCCTCACTTGGTGCCCATGTCCTTGTCCCACAGGTCCCTTGCCAGAACCAGTTGCCAATGGCGATATAGAGAAGGTAAGAGCCTCGTCTTGCTTGTAATCCCGTCCATGCCCATCTCCAGGCAGGGACCCTCCTGTTCAGGTGTCCCCATGGACAGAATGATACCACCAGGGACTGCAGTGCTCCCAGGCTGCCACATAAGAGCTGGTGCCACTGGGAAGGGGACTGGGAACTGGTGTCCCCCAGGAAGGGAGTTGCTTGTGGTGCTGAGTGTAACAGAGATGGCTGCAATTGCCTGTGCCTCCTCTCCTTTTGCCTCCTGATGCTCCACGGCTAGGAGCCCTTGTGGTGCTGCAGGGAAGTAGCATCCAGCCCTGCAGCCACCCTCCTCCTCCTGCTCCTGCTAAAGCCAGGACAGTCGGCCGGGGTTTAATCCCTCCCCGCCCCAGATGGGCAGCGCTGGAGTATTTATGTGCCTGGAGTTTGCAGGGGATTACGTGTGGGGAAGGACGGATTTCGTGGACCCCCGGGTGGGACTTGCAACTCCAGCAGCTGTTCTCAAGCTGCAGGGGCTGGAGCTCTCATTCCTTCCCTGTTTCCCCCAGGAAAACAGCGGAGAGCCACAGTCCAACTCGGTGTCCGAGAGCCCGTCCAGCCCCGCGCCTCTGGCCGTGTCCCCCAACTCCAGTGAGACCCACAGCGAGGTAGGGCTGGGAATGCCGGGGGGAGGCAGTGGCTGGGAAGCGGGATCTGGGATGAGCCCCCACTGTGGGGCTGTGCTGAGGGGGGACATGGTGGGGCTGACACAGCCTCTCGCCCCCCCAGCCCCACATGCAGGAAGGTGACAAGCGCCACTCGGCCTCCGGCTCCCTCCTGGACCTCGACATCCCGCTGGCCGTGGCCAAGGAGCGGGCGCACCAGAAGCGCACCAGCAAGAGGGCACCCCAGATGGACTGGAGCAAGAAAAACGAACTGTTCAGCAACCTGTGAAGGTCCCTGGGGCGGGGTGAGGGTCTGCTGGCCCCCCCCAGCCCTGCACCCACCTCTCCTGCACCCCCCTCCTCCCTGCCACGGGCTCCTGGCGGGGATGTGGGGCTGCTCCCCACCACCCTGACCTGAGTGCTGGGGCTCGGTGGCCAGTGAGCATCCCTGCAGAGGGATATCTGGGCTAGAGAGAGATGGGGGTGCTGGGCATGTCCCCTTTCAAGAGCCCATCCCCAGCGTGCTCCTCCAGCCCTGCCTTGAAGCCCTGCACATCCTGGTAGGCACAAGCAGGGATATTGGGAAGGATCAAGGACTTGGGGTGGCCTGATGCCCAGTTCTGATCCCTGCTGTTCCCTGGTTCTTCCCCCACCCCCAAACCTTATCTCCATTTGAGCCACTCCCCAAATTTCCCTTTAACTGAAAAACCCGAGGCTTTTAGTGACTCTTGCCAAACCCCACCTGCCCGGCCACTGACCACAGCGGGGGTGTTTGACCCCTGCCTGGCAAGCTCCGTCCACGATGACCTTGTCCCTTTGCCTCTTCTGCTGCAAGGAGGGACACGGGTGCCCAGCAGTGAGGAGACCCCAGCACCCACCCTGCCCCTGGGGCAATTTTGGGAGAGGAGAGGGTGTCCGGAGCCAGCACAGCAAGCAATAATAGTCTCCTTTACTCCTGCACACTCCTGGAGACAGAGCCGATCAGGGTTTGAATCCAACACTGTGTAATTTAAAGGCTTCTCATAGACTTCTTTTTTTTTTTTTTTTCCAATCGCACCATTCCTTTTTTTTTTTAACTGTATTTTGTGGAAATTCTTCCTGTGGATGTTTTGTTTCTATGTGCTGCAATCAGGTGTTGTCGTACTGTTGAGCTCAAGAGAAATTCTGTTTACTGGAATAAACCTTCCTGACTTCACGTGTCTGGTTTAAGGCTAAATCCTTCCGGAGCCTGAGAGGGTGCAGGGGCTTTCTGTGCCCCGGGGCTGGGGGAAGAGGCAGGTAATGTGGGGAACACTGGGCCTGGTTTGGGTGCCCCTGAGCACCTGGTGGGGCCAGGATGGGGGGTCGGGGAGGCACCGGCTGGTCCCAGTGGGGGTTAATGCCTCAGGGTGATTAAAGGACTCTAATCCCCTGGGGAGTGCAGGGGAGTGAGGGCAGTGATGCAAAGCTCTAATCCAGGTCTGTCAACCAGGCTGGAGGGCAGCAGCTCTGTTGGGGGCAGCTCCAATTTGCCCCCAGCCCCCCTGGAGGTTTTTAGGGTGAGCTTGGGTTGCACCTGGGTTGGGGGGAAAGCAGGAGGGATGGGCTGGGAGGAGTTGTTTGTCCCTCTAAATGGATGGATCTAGCCCTGGGTGGCTTTGCAGGGCCAGGCTGGTGGCACCATGGCTGCACTGAGCACAGGGCAGGTCTGGGCCCAGTCTCTGCCCAGTGTCTTCATTTCCTCCCCTTCTGCATACTCTTGTTTTGTGCTCCAAACTCCCAGACAAGCTGCTCTACCTGAGCTGATGAGTGGTCGCAGAGGTCTGCACCTCAAATGACAACCAAGTGACGAGGTGTCAGCACATTTCCAGGGAATGTGCAGGCTGTCACTTCCCCCTGGAAGCTGGGGGGGGGCAGGAGCCCATTCCAATGACCCTCATCCTCCAAAGGTGTCCTCTGAAACAGATGAGCTCCTGTCTTCTTTTTCCTACCTTCACCCCCTTGGAGAGCAAGCAGGACATCCCAGCCTGGCTGGGGCTACCCATGCAGGGCAGGACTGGGGGTATCCAGTGGGTCCCAGGAGCATCTTTTGCCTCTTGGCCTGGTCGGAGCAGCCGGGCACTGGTTCCCTGTGGGAACACTGGTTGAGCCTCGCTGGGACCACCCCAGCCTGGGGGAGGGCTGAGCTCTGGGACAGACCCAACTTTGTTTTGGGTTGCCAGGCAAAGGCTTTTCCCAGCCCCTGTGGAGGCGGGAGAGCGCCGGCGTTGCCAGGGGACCGGGGATGCCAAGCTGGGCACTCGCTGGCTCCAGAGCAACCGGCTGGGCATGGGGAGCTATGACAGGATATCACTGCCCCTTTTCCCTGGCACCAGAGGTTAAGTTATTTTTCCCACCTTGTTCGGCTTTTAGGGGAGCAAATCCCAGCTCAGCTCCATCTCTCCTCCCACTTTGGCCTGACTCCTCTGGCACAGGGATGAAACACTCCACGGAAGGAGCACAGAGCCAGCAGTTTGCCCAGCAGGTTCTGCAAATCTTGTTCTGGAGGACAGAATCCATTCCTGCCTGCAGCAGGTGACAAAGAGCAGGAGGATTAGTAGCCCTTGTCATGGTAATCCCAGCGGGAAGTAGAGCTGCTCTTCACTTTATTACCACACAAAGCTTTCCCTACAACTAAATCCACGCTAAATACTTGTTGTTTTAAAATACCGTGATACACTGTTCCCACGCTTGGCTTTAATATTAGTCACAGGAATCATGTATTTAAATTAACTAAAATTGGAAAACTAAAACGCCCCAGGCTCTAAAAATATAAGACACAGCAACACTAAAAATTCCACAGACTGCCAATCTCCAATATAAACATCCCTGGGCGAATCTGAAAGTTATTACCTGATCCTGCGTCATTGGAACAGATAATTTCTGGTCTAGGATTAGCCATTACGGCTGCTACTACAGTGGGAAAACACACAGGAGTCAGTTATCCTCCTTACCTTCTGTCCTCTCCTCTTAGCAAGCCTCCCTGCTGTGGAGAGCATGTGTAGGGCAGGAGAGGTCAGGCTGAGTAACTGCACGGGTAAGTCTGTCCAGTGGGAGTCAGGCAAGTGCCCCTTCTTCATCCATAGATCTTGGATCTACGGCTGCTCAGGCTGGTTAACTCCCACCTAAATATATCTGCCCCCCAGTCCTAGATATTTTTCCCCCCATCCTTCTTAGTGGAGCAGCAAATGGAGCCTCCAGGCTCAGCAGAGCAAGTCCTGAGCTGCTGGAAGAAGGGAGCTGTCTCCTTTCACTGTATTCTCCTCTTCCTCCTTGCTTCCATCAAAGCAGCCAGGGAAAATGAAGTGCTATATCCCTTCAATGCTGGCCTGAGGTTTCCAGATCTGGAGCATGGCCCTGAAGCTCTGGGGGGTTTGTCTCAGCAGCCTCCTGCAGCTCCTTGCACAGCTGTCATGGTGGGGCTCAGCTCTAGTCTTGATCAGCCAATATCAACAATTTTCATCACATTAACTTGCCCTTTGGTTGTGCTCACCCACACCAGGGCCTCTCCCTGCCAGGACACAGCAATGCCCCCCTGCAACGCACGAGACCCTGGAAGATTGGGTTCAAAGAGTCTCTGTTGTCTGTTACAAACCATAACCACACTTTGAGCAGCCAAAGCAAGCAGCTGAGCCCCACACTGTGCTCAGGCACCTCAGAGCTTTGTCTTTTTTTTTTTATTCAAGAGTAAACAAACTGAGCTGCCAGCGTATGAGACCATGTCTGCCAAACAGATGAATCCTGCTCCAAGGGCAGTGGGAGAAGTTACTGCTTGTACAGAAATTGGTGGCACCAGGAAACAACTGCTGGTGATTTTAGGCTCTGCTGGAACGGCATGTGAAGGTTATAGTCATTCCTAGCCAAACCTGTGAATTAGTGGCTGTTCTCCAGGTCCAAACTTCAGGCCGTAATTCTGGCTGGCGCAGCAAAGTGCAAAGTTGACAAGATGACAAAGTAACTGAAAACAGTCAAGTGCAGTGTTGGCTCAGCGGTGTCCTCCACACCCAGACCTTGCAACAGCGTCCAGCTCCTCCCTGGAAACCCAGCCAGTGTCTGGATGTGTCTGTCAGGTCTCCAGCACTCCAACTGGCCGCTTCAGCTCAGTGTAGCTCTTCTCCTCCACGTGGTTTGTCTGTTCCAGGAGCCATCGTCTCTCCTGGTCACTGACTTCCAGCTTCAGCGTCACCTCCTGGAAAAAGCTGTTCACAGCAACCTGCATCACACAGAGGGAAAGCAGCTCAGTACCAGTCATGGGGGAAACATGCTCTCTGGGTAGAAGATGGGCTGTTACTGCACCTCCTTAAAGTGAAGCTTTTTGAACATGCAGATACTGGCTTCATTTTCCTGACCAATCTTAGCCTCAAATTTGGTGATCCCCAGGATTCTCACTCCTGCAAAAGAAATCAGAGAAGCATTTCTATTACTAGTTTGGCTTCTATAAAAGCACAGGACTCCAGTCTTGAGGCAGATGCATCCCTTACTACCCCGTCTGAATCACTAGGAGTATGTGCTTCTGGATCACAGGCTGCCTGCACTCCTGTTCCTGTGCACTGAGCCACCCTTACCATAGGCCATCATCAGCAGAGTTGCCTCCTTGCCAAACCCTCTGCCTCGGTAGCAGGGCTCTGAAAGAGACAGTCACAGAGTCAGCATCCACTTATGGGAGACAAATCAGCCACACCAGACACTTTTCAGAGGAGACTGTGACCTGGACAGACAAAGGTCTCATCAGGGCCAAACAGCCACTGTAAAGCATGAGAATAAAAAGCTGCTGTATGTAACACCTGCCTGCAGCTGGCTTTAGCTGTGGAAACAAAGCTATGAAGCAGAACTTGACCTGCAATCATAATTTCAACCTCTCCCAGGGTCGGATCCGCAGCGTTGGTGAGGAAGAGGTTCACGTCCCCCACCATGCAGGACTCCTCCTCCGCCTGTCCCGGCCACCGCGCCGCGTCCAGCACGATGAAGGTGCACTCTGGGGAAGACAAGAAAGAGGCAGCATTCTCAGGGCATGCTGAGCATTATCCCCAAATCAACGAAGAATGAAACTAAATGCAGGTAATGGTCAGAGGAACAACAGTTTCCACACGTTAACAGCGAGGAAGAGCTAATAACTGCGTTTCCCACGCCAAGTGTGCCTGCTCCCAACCATAGAAATGTAAGAAATATTTGGGAAAACCCATTGCGAGGGTGACAAAGACACCAAGACTAGAAGCAGCATGTTTTAAGGAGCATGAAAACGTCCATCCCCTGTCTGAAGTCTCCTTGCCTTGCCTCACTCAGCAGCAAGTTTGGGCAAAGAATTGTTTGATGCACAAGAGGCTGAGACCTAGTGATTCATCTGGTCCATGTTATTACTGTTTTGAGTAAGGCTTTTAATGCTTTGAGTAAGACAAATACTCCGGACTGGGGTCTTTGCCAGCTTCAGTATTTTCCAGCTCACTATATTTCTATCAGGCTTTTATGGGCAGGGATTCGTTACCTGTAGGTGAGTCAGGGAACCAATTCAGTTGCTTCAAGCAGATGATTATAAAAATCACTGGATTTCTCAAGGAAAAATACAACTTCTTTCCACTTTTTTATAATGATCAGACCTGGGGAGTGCTGGCTGTGCAGGATCAGCTCAGCACACAATGCCGTGGGAAGTAATTCACTGTAATCTTTAAAAAACTGCATAAAAAGGACACCAACAGCCCTGGACATTCCCTAGTTCCCTGACATGGTTTATATATAACAGAAAGCCAGTTCAAAGCTGCTGTTGTAGAGGGTCTCACATCCCCTCTGGTTCATAGGAGACTCCCAGCTCACTGTGGGTCAGACGGAAATGACCTGTCCACCACTCCCACCCTTCCTTAGAGAACATTTCAGGTGCTCACTGTCGGCATCCTCCCTCCAGCTGCGCTGCATCTCGTACTCCTGCTCCAGGCTGAGGGGCTCCGAAGCTGTCAGGCGCTGCAGCTCCTCCGACTGCATCCACTCGTGGTACCTGACAAGGGACCCAGAGCCACGTCACTGCCCCAGCTGCAGCACTGTGGGTGGATCTCCACCAACAACCTGAGGATCAGGGCATAAACCAGCTCTGGAAACATCAGCCCAGCCTTTGTGGCAACTTAAAAGTGCCCACAGCCTTCTCTCCCTTTTCTAACACAGGAATCAGAGCTCTCTGTGGAAATTCAGTGGCTTTGCCTGAAGAGTGCCCAATGCAAACTGGGTGTTTTTGAGAGCACTGGGTTCCGGTGCATTTCATCCCGAGTGAGATGATCCCACACCTCCTGGACGCTGACAAAAACATCAATACTGGCATCTTTGAGGCTGCAGCTGTCCAGGCCAGCACTTCACAAACCTACACACCTAATGTATCAAACATCCACACATTTAAGTTTTGTGGGTTTTTTTTGCTCTTACACTGTCAGTAGGGAAAGGCATCAACGAACAGGAGAACCGCTGGTGTTCACTCACTGACAGGCAGGTATTTCCCCTTTTCTACGGGTATACTCAATGGCATAGATAAAGTTCTCCCTTTCAGTAGAGCCGGCACAGAGCACAGCCGGGCACGGAGGGCACACTCACTGCCTTCCCGGGAGTGATTCCCAGGGGGAAGAGGCCCAGCCCTCTCTGACCATCACACTCGCTTCAGAGAGAGAAGTGAAATCAGACCGAGCAGGACACGAGCCACGTACCGGGGCACGTGTGCGGCGGTGTAGGGCACCAGCGCCACCTTCTTCCCTCGCAGCACCGTGTCCTGGTTAATCTTCATGGCCTCGGCACCAAGACAGAACCCCAGCACCCTGCGGCGAGGCCGAGGGAGGGGGCAGCGCTGCCTGGAGCCTTTCAGGAGCGCAGGTCACGCCGATCCCCCACACCAGGGTGCCCGAGAGGATCCCGGGGCCGGGGGGGCTCCGGGACTGCGGGAACCGCCACCGGCCAGTCACGCGCATCTGCCGCGCCGCCCTCCGAGCATGCGCAGAGCCAACACACACGGCGTTACGTCATCGCCCCGCCTCTGCATGGCCCCGCCTCCACCATACCCCACCCCGCTCTCGCCTCTCTCTGGCTCCGCCCCCTCCTGCCCCCGCCTCTGCCCCTACCCGGCCTCACCCCTTCCCACGGGCCAATAGCTATCGGTATGTTTACCCTGGCCCCGCCCCTGCCCCGTCCTGGACACGCCTCTGCCCTTTCCCGCCCCGCCCCTGTCCATCCCGATCACGCCCCCTTTTTAGACCACGCCCAAGAAGGCCCCGCCCGTCACCTTCGCAACCCCGCCCTTTTCTGGCCGCGCCCCCGCCTAGCCCCGCCCCCTCCCGTCACCCAATCGCAGCTCGGCGCTTTCCTCTCCGCCCCGCCCCTCGAGCCGGTCACGTGCGCGGAAGGTTCCGGGCGTGCGCCGTGAGTGCCCCCCGCGCGGCGGGGGCGGGGCCGCCGGCACGAGCCGCCGCCGGTGAGGGAGCGGGGGCGACCCGGGGCGGGACCCGGGGGAAACAGGGCCGACGGGGCCCTCGAGGGGTCTGAGGGGCGTCCCGGGGAGAGACTGTGGGGGCGAGGGCTAGGGAGGGGCCCCGTGGGCCGAGAGAGGCCCGGGGAGGAGGGTCCCGTGTGGGGCGGGGGTGCAGCGGGCGGGGTGAGGAGGCCGCGGGCTGTGGGGGCTCTGTGGGGCGGGGGGGGGTCCCCCGGGCAGGGCGGGGTGGACGAGCGGCGTTCCGGCTGTAGGGCAGGGCCGGGGGGCTCTGGAGGCCTCGCGGGGTCCCGGGCCCTGGGGTCGGTCCACCCGGGCTGGGTGAGGGCCCTGCACGGGCTCCTGTCCCGGCCGTGCCCCGGGCTGTCTGTCAGCACACCCCTGCTCTTGCTGCTTGCTGCCTGTCTGCCAAGCTCGGCTGCTGCGTTTTGAGCCCAGGTCTGTCATAAAAGATGATGTTTGGCCTCTTCCCTGAGGCTGGTCCAGTTATGGCCATTCTGAGCTGTGCTGCCAGAGTGATTTCTGTCATCCAGCGCGTGTGTGCCAGCTTACAACTGTTTGTTTTTTTAGTGGTGCTCTTACCTGGGAAGCTTGTGCTGATGATTTGTCCCAGTTTGTGTGGCTGAGTAGGAGCACGTGTAGATGTGTGAAGCCCTTAAACAATTCTACTATGGCTAATTACTCACACTGAAACCTTTCAGGAGGCTTTGGTTCTCCCCTCCACCTTTTTTTATATCAGAGTTTACTTTCAATAAAATAAAGGGACAATGTCTGCCTAAACTATAGATCTAAAAGTGCTAAAAACTGTTTAATGTCCCACACCAGCTCTTCCATCCTTTTACCCATTTTCCTTGTGTTTCATTAATGTTTTCATCAACCTTAATTATCACGTGAACCGGCATAAACTGGGGGAACTGTGACATTGAAACTATTCCACTTTCTTCTCTTTCTCCAAATACTTCTGCTTTGGAAACCTTGGCACGTGAAAAACATCTTGGCATGTCTTTAATAGGTGCGGTGTTTTAATTTGTCTGCTTATTTCTGTACTTGATTTATGAGGAGAGGCTGTAGGCTGGTTTTTGCTGTTTGATGTGCAGTAGGCACGTGCCTGAAAAGAGTAGTAGCTGCATGAGAAGCAGCAGTGTGAGCTCATCCTCAAGGCAGTCATTCTTCCTCTTGAGGTTTTAGTATATGAAAGAGCCCCTCTGGCTGTTTGGGGAAGGTGAAGTTTGGTCATCACGTGCTGTGAAAGGGCAGGGCCTTTTGGTTGCTTTTAAACTGGTTTAACAGGTATGAAAACTCACAGAGTGTTGGACGGAGTGGTGCTGGTGAGTGGGGTCTGTCCGAAGGGCAAGGTCCTGCTGAAGTCTGTTAAAGTGCCAGAAGACTGATGTACAAAAGCTGACTGGTGAGTTCCTCCTCTTTCTAGCAAAAATAACAAAATTTTCTGGTGTTTCCCCAGGTTAAAGGGAAGAGAAGTTGAAAACACCCTCCTGGCTGTGCTCTGGGCCTCCCCTCCGTCTCCATCATGGCAGGGGGCATCACTGACACCGGAGAGCTTTACTCTCCATATGTAAGTTCTGCTGCTTGTGGGTTTGCTCACAAGTTGTTCTTTTTTTCAAAATACTCTTCCCTCAGCATTGTGTTTTCAGTTCCCACTTCCCCATGGGCGTAACCTCAGTGTTTCAGGAGATGATGGTGGTCAAAGGGTAGTTAAAAATGCTTAGTGTTGGTAGTTAATGGAGGTTTTTTTATATCAGAGATTACTGTAACTGAAATAAAGGGATGATGTCTGCCTAAAGTATAGATTAAAAAGTGCTTAATGTCCCACACCAGCTCTTCCATCCTTTTACCCACTTTCCTTGTATTTTATTACTGTTTTCCTCAATCCACAGCGTAATGTGAAGCAGCATAAACTGGAGGAACTGTGACATTGAAACTATGCCACTTTCTTCTCTTTTGTTACTTTATATAAGCTTTCCCCTGAATTTCTCAAAGTTTACTTAATTGTAGCTGTTGCAGTAATTTGTTTTAAACCACTTCACTTAAAATTAGCAGTCAGGATATTTCTTTCCTGTAATGTGGTGGCTGGTGCAACTCCAGAGCCAATTACTGCTTCCCTATGTTACTGGAAATACTGGTTTTCATAGCCACAAGTCTTCATAAAATGTCAGCTTTTAAAAACAGAGCTTTGCAAACATGTTTTGGTTTTTTTTTCTGAAGTGAACTCACTAGATACAGAATCAGCCCTGAAATCTGTGTGCTGGCTTTTAAATGCTTTAAAACTTTCATCCCCATGTTAAGGATTGAATTTAGAAGAACAGGATATTAGGTTGCAGAAATAGGACACAGCTGAGAAAATGGAGAACTGAGGCAGTAACTGGGACGTTTGGACCCTCAAGGATTAGTGTCACCTGCTCTTATGTTGTTAAGTTGGTGTTGCATGAATTTCCTGGAGTAATCTCAAAGGCTGTGACTGTTCCCTTTCCCTGAAGATGTCTGACCAGACTGAACTCATGGGCATCATCCTTGTCTCTGTCTGCTTGACCAAAGTTAAGGAAAATCACCATTCTGGGAGGTTCAGCACATGATGAATTTGCTGTGCTTATGCCAGTGAAGTGCTTGCAGGGTCTCTGGGGAATAGTTCTCCTGATGGTAATTGCTCCACGCCCACAAAAGTGTGCTCAGAGACAGTTTTTTACTGGCTCTCCTCTGGAGAGATTCTGACCTATATTAAAATAAAACCCCCAAAGCACAACAACTTTGTGGCAAGTTTTGATCTTGAATTCAGCTAAATGCATAGCCTGGGGGGTCCTGTCCAGGTGCAGAGTTCTCTTTTGTCCCTGAGCAGTAAAAAAGCTCATTGCCAGAGAAGATAAAATCCTTTCCCTTCAGGAAGTAAAATCCCTTCTTCAGAAGGTGCTCAGCTGCTTACTGGTAAAATGTCAAGTAGGCTTTGAATTAGAATTCTTTTTGGATATTTCCTGCTTGACTAAGAATAAAGAAGAACAAGCACTTCTGAAAGATAACTCAGGTGCACAGTTATAACTGCTTGGGTTCAGGTTGAAAACAAGGAGAGACCCCAACCCACAGTGTAGAGCTTTTGGTAGAAGGCAGTGATTTGAAAACAAACAAATAAAAAGCTCGTGTACTTTCTAACTTTAAGAGTTAGAATAGAAAGAAAAAATATTTTAAAATAATTAGGAAAAGGGAGAGGAATATCAGTTTTTCCAGAAATGTGCTGACACTCACTTTGTTCCCTGTGGTTATCAGTCCCCTCCTCTAGTTATTTCTTGCTCCCACCCTGCCCGCTCAAGGATTGCCCTCTCTGTGTGAGTCAGTGCATGTGTGAGGTGTTTTGGGTGATTCCTGGCACGCTCTGATGCTGGATCATGTGGCTGGTTGCAGGTTGGCCTGGTTTACATGTTCAACCTCATCGTCGGGACAGGAGCCCTCACGATGCCAAAGGCCTTTGCGACAGCAGGGTGGCTCGTCAGCCTCATCCTCCTCATGTTCCTGGGATTTATGAGGTAGGACACGAGTGTGTGTCCCTGGGGGACTGGGGGGGGGTTCAGCTGGGTGGAGCTCTGAGGACAGTGTTGACTTTTGCTGCTTTCCTGTGCTCTGCTCCTTGAGGATTGGTCTCTGCAGTGGTGTTGCCCTGATTTGGAGGGATGCACTTCCTGACTGCCTGCAGTATGGTGCTACATCCCATTTCCTGACTGATGGGCAAGACTTTTCCTCCAGTGCAGAGTCTTCTAGGACCTTTCTCCCAGTTTCCTTTTTTGTCCTTGCTGTGGATATGTTCCATGCTTGCCTCTGTCATGGATCAGTTGCCCAAACACCACTCGTGTCACTGGTGACGTGGGGTAATGCTTCTGTTCTGTGACTTACAGATGTGATGCAGGTGTGTGAGCTTTCTCTGGGCTTCTAGCAATGCTCTCACACTTGCAAGAGCGTCAGGAAAACAAATTCATGTATAGCCAGGCCTATCTTATCCCCTCCAGACCTTCACTACTTGAGACCTTGGAGCTGCTCTCCTGATTTTCCCACTGGCTCACCATGAGCTCCTGCCCAGGTGCCTCCATGCTGGAGCAGCAGATGGAGCTGAAGGCTGTGGATACAGCGCTGGTGTCTGAGGAGCTATTGATAGAATTGCCATCTTCTGATGGGCTGTGAATCTCTTCTTGCTTGGTTTTAAAATAAAAATAAGAATTTTTAAAATAAAACCAAAATCCCCTCCTGCCATTTGTAAGAATGGAATTTTGAAGTCCCAGCCTTGTCAATAACCAGCTCTCTCAGCCTGAACATGCCTTTTGAGCCAGAGCCTTTGGGATCTGTTAGGTGCTGCTAAACAGAGGAACTGTATGGTCATTACTGGCTGTAATAATGCTTTTAGTGCCTCACCTCTGAGCTGGATGCTGTAAACTGTGGGGATACCAGTAACTGGGAGCTTTGTAAGCAATTCCTTTTAGCTACATTAGTATAAAAGCATAAATTCAATGTATGAAGCTCAGCACCAGCAGAAAATCCTTCAAGGTCAGCAGAAGAGCACAAAGCTCCAAACCTGTGTACCAGAACTGCACTGGACTAAACTGAAAAGGTGCAGCTCAAAGGAGTATGTGCCTTGGGAGCTGCATTGCTCTGTGGCTTTTGTTCTGGTGCTTGTGACTTCCTCGTGCCCGCTGGGCACCTTCAGTGCAGGAAAAGTCTGGGCGGAAATTGCCACACAGACCTCAGCACTTTCTTTTATTCTTGCAAAACTAATCTCTCATTTGAGCTCGATAAGCGAGTCTGGCTCCTAAAGCAGTGAGAAACCACTTTAAAGCCTTAAATAAGATTGATTTGAGGGGGTTTTTAAATTTATTAATATCAGAGGACAGTTTTTAGCTGAGATAATGATATTCCTTCCATCAGGCTCTCGCTGTCTCCCTGAACAGCCTTTCCCCTGGCCTCCAGCAAAGTGTATTTGCATGCATGTGTGATCTCTCCTTCTTCTATTGCTGCTTTGCTTCTGATGCCATTTGTAAGATTATTTAAGAGACTGTAGTACCTTTGCCACAGGCCCTAATAGATGAGTTTCAGAATAGTACTGTGCTCATCCTAGGCTGTAAAAAGAGGAAGGAAACTTGCTTTCTAGCAAAGGGCAAAGTCCTTTTGCTGTCTTCAACCCACAGAAACACCAGGAAGGTGCCTTCCAAATATCTAAAGTGTCTTATTGTGTCTGAAGGCGTGTTATACTTTATTGCATTTTGTGGTCTGCTTGAACACCTGAATCTCAAGAGCAGAAAGGAGCAATAAAACGAGATGAAACACTATCAAAACAGTGTGTGGGGAGCTGGCAAAAGGGTTGGTTTTGTTTGTTTTTTTGCTCCTACAAACAGATGGGAATAATTCTCCATCTCTCTTCAGTGACAGTTCTTGACTGTTATTGATGATATCAATTGAATTCCTTTCTCTGTAGCTATATGACTACGACCTTTGTGGTGGAAGCCATGGCTGCTGCAAATGCCCAGCTGAGATGGAAGAGAATGGAAAAACGCAAGGTTTGTGTGGGGTTTAATTTTATGTTTTGTTGTGTTGTTCTATCCTGTAGGATTTGCCTGGGATTCCTCTGATTCTTTGCCGTGCCTCGTTACTAACTCTAAAGAAATAAATTTCTACTGTACTTAACTTTGCCATATAAAATACGGCTGTTAGTTCCCTGTGGGGTTGCTCATTAAAGACAGGATTTTCTGCTCCTGCTTTGAAAAATCTCTTGTGCTGTTCACATTTCTTACTGATCGTGCTCTCCTTGCCCAGAAGCGCTGCTCAGTGAATGTGGAGAGGTGGCAGCCAATATATTGGTGCTATTTGGAGTGTGCTGAGGACTATAAATCCTTGCTGATCTCAGGTCATTTAACTGGGACAGGCTGGAATGTCCTTGCTGTTACTTGGGCTGTATCCCAGGGAGTGGACAGTTCTGAATTATGCCCTTCCTGTAAAGCTTACTTGTGGCTTTTCTGGATCAGAGGGAGGCATAATTGTTTGCACTGATTTAGACCCCTGCCTGTGTTTTAGTGGGATGGAGTTAGGGGCTAGACCTGCCTGCTCTGACTAGCTGAGACTTTATATGTTTAGATTTATGTTTTTTTCTACCAGTTCTGCAGCGCTGCAGATCTGCCTGAAGTTTCTGACTTCCTTGTGCCACGTATCACTACAGGAGTTGGGCACTGTTGCTGTGTGCGTGACCTCAGGCTGGGACAGCAGAGCCTGTCACTCACTTCAGCCTGCTCTGCTAGTGCCCTCTTCTGCCCTCCACAGCATCCCAAGGTCTCCCTGGTGTTACCTTACCTGCTTGCATGTCCTGCCCTCCCTGTTTGAGACCTTCTTTTGAGTGTCTGGAAGTGACCGTGACACTGGTGGTGCCGAAGCCTTTACTGTGGGTAACACATATCTCAGCAGTGGTCTGGTCTTTTCATCCAGGAGGATGATGAGGATGAAGATTCTTCCTCTGGAGTATCTGACAGTGATGTTCTCCTCCCAGATGGCTACGAGCGAGCAGAGACACGGCCTATCCTGTCAGTTCGTGAGTACCCAGTTCACGCCTTTGCTGCTCCAAGACCTTTTCTCTGCAGACAGTGTCCCAGAGAATTCCACAAGTGTGGACTCCTCTGTCCATTTCACCCTTAGTTCCATGTGCTCACATCCCAAAGTCCTTAACATTTGCAAGATAAGACTCATTGAGAATTCAGTTTACCTTCTGCAGTCTGATAAAGATCTTTTCCTTCTAGGTCACTAAGATGAGAACATCTTATTTTCTAAACACTTTTAACCTAGCTTTGGTAGAGTAATTGGACCAGTGACTCTGCAGCTGTGGAGTTGTACAAACTGTCCTTCAAACTGCTGCTAGGGCTTCCCAAGTGTCCAAGTAGTTTGGCCTCTGGGTTTACTGGAGGGATTGGTTGAAACGCTTCTTTTTTCCATCGTGCAGAGAGACGTGGCTCACCCAATATCTTTGAAATCACTGAGAGGGTGGAAATGGGCCAAATGGCTTCCATGTTCTTCAATAAAGGTAAGTGATGCATATTTTCAAAAGGCCCTCCTGGACATTGTGTGTATGGCTGTTGCTTAAGTTTGCAAGGTTTTTTTCAGTGTGAGTTTGCATCCTGAGTTTGTGATAATTCCACCCAAAAGTGTCATTCCTTCTCTCTGTGGACTGTGTTCATCCTCCTGTGTGATGTTTCTATGAAGTATTTATGGGCCAAGTGGGCCAGAACCTGCTGTGGTGGGCACAGAACTAGCAAAACACTGCAGGTTATGGGCCCAGTTTCTCGAGACAGGCAAGTGTGAGTCAGTGCCTTTTCTGACTGCCCTTCACCTGCCTTTGAACTGCATCTGTCCTCTGTGATCTCCACTGTTTAAAGCAGTAAAGCCCAGCTGCAGTGTTTGCCAGTTCCATCTTGGTTGTAGTATTTGTGAATAAGACGTTCAGGCTTCCCTGAGCCCCGTATCAGTCTGAAGGAGAAAGACTTCTGGTGGGAGCTTCTGGGAATTGCCTGTGCCTGGGGAATCATCAAGAGAGCTGCTGGGACATGAACTGCTGAAAGGGTCCCCGCTGAGCATATGACAGGCAGCTGGCTTGTGTTTCTGTTTTTAAATGCTGCTTGTATGCCAGGGAACAAACTTGTAACCGTACTGCAATACATCCCTGTCCATTGCTGTGTGCAACAGAAATGCAAACTACAGTGGTAGGGATTCTGAAACCTGTGAAACAGTACAGTGAAATGCTGTGCAGAGCCAGAACATCATCAGACACCGTGGCTGTGCAGTTTTGAACCTGTCAGGCCCCATTTCTTGTGGAAAATGATGTTTTCCCTTGTTCACTGGCCACCTTGCAAAGAGGTGACGGGCTGGTTTTTTCCACTACGTTACATCAGCATTATGCCAGCGTAAGGCTGTTGCCTCTGAAGGACAGCTGGGCTTAAGTAGTGAAGATTCTATGAACTATTATTTCTGATTTTAAAGTCTAATTGGAAAAAAAAACTTTTTAATTTTCATGAATGCCTCTTCTTGGCTTTTGCAGATTTAAATCACACAGGACCATCAGAATAATCCACCTTGGATCAGGCTGCCACATTTCTAGTCAGGGAAGAGAAGTGTGTCAGAAACGTCTTGTTCCTGGTCTTGTCTGTAGCACTGAGTTGCTCTGACCTTAGAGAAGTTTTTCCTTGTTTGCTTTGCTATCTATAAAACACTGTGAACACTTCCCTGTCTCTCAATATTCCTCTGAGGAGTAATATTTGGAAGTGCTTTGAGGGCAATCAGCAGGTAATGGGGTTTAGCCGTGTTTCTGAGGCCTCGGCTGTGGAGGGCTGGGGGGTCACGGGAGACAGAGAGTCCTCATAATCAAGTTCCAGGAGGCCCCTTCTTTGCATATGCTTCAAAGGGGAGCTGAAAAGGATGCCCCAAAACCAGGCAGGTGTTGGGCAAGTGCCTTCTGGACCTCTCTGGTGCTCAGACACTAGAGGGTGCTGGGAATACGTGTCCTCTCTCTGCCGGCACCAATGTAGCTTCCGAGCAAAGTAAAATAAACTGCTTAGTACTCTTAAATCTTAATCCCTCTTCTTAATGTTGCTTTAGCCACAGTTATCTGATTTCTGTGTTAGGGATCCTCCCCAGGGTCTATTGAGCCCATCGCAAAGGGATGAATCTGTCTGCAGGAAGGCCACTGGAACAGCTGCAGACCACGGCCTGACTTAACTGGTGACTTCCAGATGGGAAGAGTCTGGGGCAGCTGTAACTCATTTGCTGCTTTTCTTTCCTCTGAGCTCAGCAATGAGGCTTCATTCCTGTTGCTGAGTCCTGGTTCAGAGACACCCTCTGGCCTGGGAGCGGCTGCAGAGACAGAGGAGTGAAGTACCTCCCTCTGCAGATCCGTGCTGAGGTGCTCCCTCGCGATGGCTGCACAGAAGGGCCTTCAGTAAGGGCTCAGTGACCAGTGTCTGCTGCCTTGTGCTGAGAAACTGGGCCACACTGGGGAATTCTCAGCTCCAGGCACCAACCCATGTGGTTTCACAGCTCACAAATGTCTGGGTGGGTGTTCACTCACGATATACGAAGCGTGGATCCAAACCCAGGCTGTCTCAGGGCTTTACAGCCTTCAGAGTGAAGGCTGGTGAAAGCTGTGCCATAGACCTCAAAGCCTCTGATTTCTAGTGAGATCTCTGCTCCTTTCCCTTGACTGATTTTTATTTTCAGCAATCTGACAGGAGTTGAATCTGCAGTCCTAGGAGGTAAGCTGGGGATAAATCTCAATTTCAGACTGTCTGTTTTCTTAAAGGGAGCTGACTTAGGTTTAGGCTGTGAAGAGCCTGTGTGCTCTTTTGAAAGAGCTGGCTCTGAAGAACTGCTCTGTTTCTTGTTTTAATTTTTTTATTTTTTAATATGCAGTGTTGGGTGCTTTCTTCTGGGACCAAGTAGTCATTTATTGCAGTAATAGATTGCAGGCACATCTATCATACTGTTTCCTCACAGGAAGTCATTGATTTTCTTTTTTCTCTCTGTTTTGTGCCCAGTAATGAAAGTATTGATTGGGGAGGGTCAGCAGCAGTTTATAAAAGAACTGATGGTAAAGTCTTCCTGTCTTTGAGAAGATGAGTTTGGGAGAGGACTATCACCTGGACTTCCTACAGACAGGGAAGTCTGCACTGAAACAGGGATATAGTGTGTGCTGTTGGTACTGGGTGGTGCTGCTGTGGTTGTGTCAGCCTTATTTTGTGTGGGGAGGGCAGCTGAGGCCTGAGACCAGTGGAGATCCCAAAACAGAATCTGTCTGAGTCTGCAGTACTAAGCTTAGTGTGTCTGCAGTTTCTGTCCTATTTCAGATATTTTGTTATAACCTTCAACCCTTTTTAATGGGAAACTGGGGAAGACTGGTACGTAGTTTGTTGCTGTCTCCAGAACAGTGCAGAGACTCCTTAACTGTGAAGCCATCTTCAATCTTTCACAGAGCAAGAAAACAAGGGGGAAACTATATGGAATGATCTGACAATTTCTGTAATATCTCCATTTGTCTTTTTAGACAAATCAGGAACAAGTCTAGAGCACTGACTTAGTGCTGCTGTACAGAAACAGGAAAGTTTTCTTGCTGCTTTCCTGATACAGCCCCTTTTTAGGAATGTTTTATGCTAAGTAGGCTCAGCATATTGAATAATTCATTTAAATGAAGGAAGATGTTTCCTAACATTCTGAGGTCCAGGGGCAGTATGATGGCAAAACATGAGAAAACTTTGGGGCATCTAAGCTGTAGAAATATGAGTCCACATTCCTGCAGCAGTGTTGTCCTTGTTGGTAGTTGTCACAGCTGTGAGTGTTAGGTGAGGCTTGCACAGGTGAATTGATTTGCTCAAGCTGCATTAGGATTAAGCATCAGCTGGCATCACACAACTCGAAAGTATGGGCAGGTTCCTTGAGCTGTTCTCCTTCAGTGTCAACTTCCTAAATGAAACAAATGTGAGGCTTTTTTTCTGTAACTCACCTGTCTCTGAACTAAAATGTCTTCCAATTTGTTTTTCCTTGGTGAGATTTATACAGACTTGCTTGGAAGAAGAGAATCCTGTGGTCTCATCAAGTGTTTCTTTGTCCCTGCAGATTTTAGCCCTCCACAGCAGTATCTTCTTGTGCCCCAGTAAGGCTGTTCTGTGCACCCAATTAATTTGTGCAAGATTTTTTTAATCTGCTAGGTGAAGGCAGGGCAAGCATTTTCTTTTTTTTTTTTTTTTTCAAAAAGAAAAAAAAAAATCCAAAAAATCAGTAGGGGCGTGAACATCATATATGGTGGTGGAAGGGTAAGAGGGCTGAGATACAGAGTTTTAAAGCTTTGCAGAATTATACCTTGGCTCAAGTTGCCACTGGTAGGGAATCTTCCAAAGCAGCTCCATTTCAGCCCTGTGGAGTCTGAGCTCTGCAGGGCCAAGTCCCTAATGTGAAGGTCTTGCAGATTTGCAAGCAGAGGATTTGGAATCAGCAGAGACTAAAAGCATCTTCTCTCTGCATTTCATTGTTTGTCAGATTGTGCTCACACCGAGTCTGAGAGCATCAGCTGGATGTTTGCCTGTGGCTGTTCCAAGCTGACAGCTTCGTCTGGCAGGTGACTTATGTGAGACCTGTTGGTCTTGACTGCAGGATGGGCTTGAACTAGAGGGTTTAGTGTCAGTGCCAGGTATTGAAGGAAGCAGAGTGGAGCTCTGAGGCCCCTCATGCCCCATCAGATCCTGTGCCGTGGTAAGTTCCCTGAGCTTGGGTGGAGTTTGCTGCAGAAGGAAGGAAATTATGGAGGCAAATGGTGATTTTTAAGATCTTAAAAATTTTGTATATTTGAATTGCAGAGTACAAGAGTTTCTGTGTACTCTGCAGTATCTGGATAATATTTCCTTTTTCTGCAGTGGGTGTCAACCTCTTCTATTTCTGCATAATTATCTACCTCTATGGAGATCTGGCAATCTACGCAGCAGCAGTACCAGTCTCTCTCATGCAGGTGACCTGGTAAGTGTGCTTATTGCTGAGGGGTTGGATGCTAACAGGGAAGAGGGCAGGCTTTGGATTTGATGGGGTTATAAACCTCATTAGGATCAGCTCTACTTTCTGAAGAGTGAAGTGGAGAAATGACTCAAGTACAGCTCATCTCTTGAGGGTGGGAAGGTGAAGTTGCTCTGTATTCCCCACCCGAGTGCCTGCAAAGTAGCCGACCTGATTCCAGAGTCCTCGGGTGGGAAGCACTTCCAGCTTCAGCACTTGTAGACATGGAACTTGTTGCTCAAAAGTTTGATTGCAATACTCTGCAATATTTTAGCTTCTCTGTCTCTTTGGGTGAGGGCTGAGAGGTGTGATACTTATTAAGTCAGAGACCAGAGAGTGATGATGTTATGTGGACTTCGCACTGGACTGAGAGTGATGCCTTTCTCAAAGAAACAGATAATGAAAAAGAGTGGTTTGATCAAATCTGGGATGGGCTGGATTTGGACTTGTGTCTTGGAAATGGGAAACCTCAGTGATCTCCATATGACCTAAACCCGCCAGCTTGATGACTAAATGACCAATCTTGCAAATAACTGCAGGTAATTCGAGAATTTGCTTTTAAATGCCCAGTACTCAGTGACTTGCTCTGTTACACAGTCCAGAAAGCAGAATGAGGGAGAGTGTTCAGGGAGGGAGGGGAGGAATGGCCTCTGCTCATTCTTCCTTCTTGAATGCAGGAGAGGGGAAGACATCTGCTAGGAGTTAATTACTGTCTTTTGTTCTCCCTCCTTTCCCAGCAGTGTCACTGGCAACCATTCTTGTAGTGTTGGAGATGGCACAAAGTACAACGACACAGACAAGTGCTGGGGGCCAATTCGACGGATTGATGCTTACAGGCTGTACCTGGTGAGTTTCTGGAACTGGGATGACCACTGTTGCCACTTAAACTTTGCTTCTAGTTATAAAGATTTTTTTTTCCTGTAGAGATAATGTGGTTCAAGTGAACAACACAGTGTGAAGCTTTTAGTTCAATCTGGCCCTTTTGGCCATATACCTCCTTCCTGTTCTTGATGACATGGCTGTGTGTGAACTTGTTGGCCATCAGAATGATCCTTATGGTTTTGAGTTTGAGTTCTGTCCGTCTTGTTTTGTAGTTTTATATTGCTTAAGCAGGTGAGATGTTCTTGCCAAAGGCTGGGCTTTTCTTCAGTGGGTTTTTTAGTGGCTGGCTAAGTAATATTCACTTGGGGGTAATTGTTGTCAAGATACTGAAGTATATTAAGCTCACTCGACTGCTTTAGAATATAAAATATCCTGAGTTGGAAGGGACCCACAAGGATCATTGAGTCCATTCTTCATGTGAATAAAATTGTTAATGCTGCAGGAGAATCTGCTGTTTAAAAGATGATGGAAACAGCCAGCTTAGACAACATCCAGTGCTATATGCTGCTTTAGTAATAGCTTTGTCTAGTTCAGGATTGTCTATTGCATCTATTACTGTGCTGGGGTTCTGCTGTGAAACCAGGGTTTTTCCCAAAGGATGATGAAATGGCTTTTCTAGATATTGGGGAGTGTTGAGTGCTCCTACCTGGAGACATGTCAGTAGGGCAAAAGGAAAAGAGGATGGGATGCCAGTACTGGATAGTGTGGCTTCTGTTAAGGGTCTTGGTGAGAATTTCAGGAACAAGGAGTGCAGGGAGTGAGGGTGGTTGTGTGTGCACAGAGAAATCCAGAGGTAAAGACTATTTGAGGCAATTTTGCAGTAAGTACATTTTGGATGTGCAGTGGATCACATCCCTGAGTACACTTGTACCAGCGTTATTGCAAAAGTAAGAGCTGGGCCTTGGAAATATAAGTGAATGTCAAAGTCTACTTAATAATTTAAGAGAAATATTATTGCTTTATTAAATTGTGTTTTGGTCTGTTTCTTTAAAACTTCCAGAAGATTGAAGATTTCCTTCCTGAATTTCAATAATTCTCCCTGACCCAGCAGAAGGAGCTAGTCAGAAAAGGCAGACATGCATTAATTACTGCCTGCATCTCTCGGATATTATGTCTATAATTCATGAAGATAATTGTTGTTAGGACTTGCAAAATTAAAAAAATTAAGACTGTGTAAGCATTAGACTTGCAGTCTGTGTACATAACTCTCAGAGGAGCTTTTCCCTCTGCTTGTCTTGTGGATTTGGAGAATAAATATCTGCAAAGTCTTCGCTAGTGTTAATCCTTTCCTGCTCAGTGACTGGGATGAGGTTTCAGTGCTTTCCTCTGCTCCCCCTTAGAAGGACGGAGGGGTTGTTTGTGGGAGAACAGACCAGTCTGTAGGGGGCTACTGCTGGGGGGCAATTCTCACCATAACTATTTTCAGGGGACTGCTGGGTGTCAGCATTACCTTCAAGTGACTTTCTCTTAAGGTCTCTAATGCTTCTTACTGGGCGAGTATGGGAGTAAACTGGGACTTGTTCTACCTCCAGTTCTGCTAGTCCCACTCCCTGCTTGACCTGTGTGCTTTCATGCTCCAGAAAACAGAGATGATGGTGACTTCTCTAGGGAGAAGTAAGAGATGTAATCATTTATAAAGCATTCAGACCACAGTACTGACCACGTCCTTGAGTTTGGGCTGCCTCTCAAGTGGCTGTGATGGGTCATATTTTTCCCCCTTTATCCTGGTTAATATTTTCCCCACTGTCCTGTTTGCAATGTGGACAACTAGTGACCAGTTGAACTCTTGAACTTTCTAAGAGAAACCTGGGCATGGGAGGGCAGGGGGAGGAAGTCACTTGACTTCAAGCAAAAAATTCAGTAGTAAACCATTGTCATTATCTCTACACATTTTGTCCAAGCTTGTCGTGTATAGAAGTAGAGTTTTGACCATGCAAGTAAAGCTGAACCTTGCTTGTCTGAAGAGGAAAAGGCAACATGACAGGAGGGGTGAAATGCATCAAGAGCACAGCTATTCCCTTGGTCCCAGAGGATCATACCCACAGAGAACTTGCTCTGTTGTCTTAACTTTCTTTTTTGAATTCTTGCTTGATGGAATAATTTGGGTTCCACGTTTCAGTGGACAAACAAGGTCTCTTTTTGCAGACTAAGTTCCCCTGTGGCAAGGGGACAGATGGACACTGTGATCCCAAAAGAAAACAGCTGAGTTTTTGGATCAGCCCTTTTGTCCTAGATGTCTGCCTCTAGTTTTCTTACCTCGTCCTAGTACTGTATTTAGGTTAAAATGACTTTTAGGAGAAAGATGGGTGGATGTAACTGGAACCTCTTGCCCGTTCCAGTGAAGCAGTTCTCTGAATATGTAGTGTTATATTTCATACTCCGTGCATGACCCCACAGAAAACCTATTTTGGACTACCAGGAGAAATAATCTATTTGAGGTTTTCTGGGCAAATGATGCCAATGGGAGCTGTCTTGTGCCAAGTCCCACCAGTCTGCCAAAGACCTGTGCTGCCTTCCTCCTGTTGACTCTTTCTCTCCCAACACTGTGTCTTCTTTTCAACAAAAATAATTTCAAACATTTACTCTTCAAGCTGGGGATGGAGAGAGGAATAATGACTGACGTAAAAATCCTTTTTCACGCCTTATTGTCCAAAAAGGCTTCTGGAAGCTGTCTCTGCTCTGATTACTGTGAATGGAAGCTGAAAACTATGTACATAATGAGAATATTTAGACAGATTAAATTCTTCTCTTGAGACTTCCTTGTCTGTGCAGCATCTTTATTGCTGCTCCAGGATTTCACACCTAAGTGTGACTGCAGAGTCTTCAGAGACCACTAGGCCCCTATTAACCTTTGTCTGAACAAATGGTTGTCTCGCTTCTTGTTTATAAATTGCTTTGGAAAATAAAGGTTTGCAAAACAAATAAGTGAAGGCAAGTGCAGGAAATATGTAAATAGACTTCTTCTCCTGTCCCATCACTTGCTGCTAGTATTTGCCTCCTTTTTGGGACGTTTACAGGGTGAGCCTTCCCATGCTGTTCCATGCCTGCGAGGGCAAGACCCCGCAGGGCAAATGGGCTGGAAGGAAGGCGTGTGTTGGGCAGCCCAGCGACCTTGTTGAAGGCAAGCACTGATCACAGTTAGAGCAGATCGATGGCTTTCTATCTTTGCTTCAGATCCATCACCACCCTGTCATGTCCTCGACAGCTGGAGTGACTCCCAAGTCCCTTGGCTGTCTCTGGCAATGCTGAGGACGGGGTTGTGTTCTTTCCCTGCTGAATTCACACTTCAGTGCAGTCACTTTATCATGCTCTCTGTAAGGTCCACGGGGCCTCTGCTGTGGAGGCTGTGGGGCAGGGGCAGTGGATTTCAGTTGCAGATCTTTCGTCATAATACTTTCTTGTCTGTCTGTTCCAGTGATGTAGAAATGTGACATGATAGCCTCTGTTTCTAGAAAGCAGATACTGAAATAAATAAGAGATTAAATCCTGGGGATCAGCAGCCATTCAGAGTGTCTGACCCAAACTGCTTTCATGACCTGGCAAATGACGCTTCTCTTCTGCACCAGGGCAGCTGTTGAAGTTAAAACCTTTCTTCTCTTCAGCCCTCCTCTTCTGGCAATCTGGGACATGGTGCCTTCCCATGATGGAAAGGAAATGGCTTAAATTCTCAAGGGGAGCCGTATGCCTTTGAGAAGAGGCACTGGCACAGGTACTCCTGGTAGCCTGGCTCGGTAGCGCGTCAAAGCTCCCAGGTGCATCTGTTCTGTCTGAGTCTCCGTTGGTTTTTTTAGCTGATTGGGAAAGGGACGCGGCATCCGCTTGTGCCGGTTCACAGATGCTGCAGTATCGCAGGCAGCCCAGCGGGTGCAGGCCGGGCGAGGATGGGAGTGCAGATGGTTTAATGGAGATTATCCCAGTTGGAAATGTGCTTGTGCGGTGAATAAAATGAGCGGGCTCGCAGGCGCTTACCATCCCTCTTCAGGAGGGGACAATGTCACCCCGGCCCGACGCTCTGATCAGTGACCAGAGCGGGGCTGGGCTGCAGCTGCGGGAGGCTGTGCAGGGGGGTGAGGAGGAGGTAGTCTGAGGACACACGTACAATTGCTCAGTGCCAGCAGAACTTAATTGGCAAATGTGAGGGCTGTGCTGATAAGTGTTGATGTAGATCCCGTCCGCCGCGGCGCGGTGCTGCCTTCCCGGCCCGCTCCGGCTCTGGGCTGGAGCGCCGTGCTTTGTGCCGCCGGTGTACGTGCTCTGCTTCCCTCCTCAGCGTTTCTCCTTCCCAGCTGTGCCTTCACCCTGCTCTGGGTAAAGGAAGCTCTGATTTTCGTTGTCAAAACGGATCTTTCCAGATGTGTTTACCTGCACTAGGGCAGTTTTATCGGCTTGTTCAGCGCGCAGTGCTTTTGTGGCCTGTCTGTGGTTGCCTTCTGGCCTCTGTAGCTTTATTTTTTTTTGTGGGTTTTTTTGCTTTATATTTTGCTTCCTAGCAGTGCTATGAGAGGAACCCTCATGGCAGTACTTGAACATCCATGCTTGATCTAAGCTGTCTCTTGCCAACTGGGAGCTGGAGCAACAGAGCTGGAGCAGTGCTGCGAGCAGAGTGCTGCTTCCAAGGGCACCTGGGTTTGCTCTGCTGTTCCCTTTGCAGCAAGTGCTTTTCCTCTGCCCTGCCTTCCTCAGCTGTGCCCTGCAGCAGCATCCGGTAATAAATGGGTCACAGCTGCTATCTCCTGGATATTTATTCTTACAGGTCTCAGTGTCTAGAGACCTTGAGAACCAGTGGTGGGGAAGGAACCTGCCTCACTGGCTGGAGCAGGGAGGGCTGAGTTCGCAGCACTTCAATGAAAAAGGCTTGGGGTGTTTGTCCTGGGCTCCCAGAGTGAGCCAGTAAAAAGGAAGAAAAGCTGATGGAAGTTTATCCTGATGGTGTGAAGCCATCACCTTGTTTAAAGAAATTGCTT